GAGCCAGGTGGACGAGGCTCTCTATTTCAGAGTTGGCGACGACGGAGTGGCGTGCTGGGTGCTCGTCTACGTCGACGACCTGCTCGCCGCCAGCAGCAGCACCGCGATGCTGAAGGAGCTGAAGGAGCTGCTGGAGGCTGCCTTTGAGCTGCGCGAGATCACCCCGGTCGAGAAGTATTTGGGGCTCGAAATCGTGAGTGATCGTCCGGCGCGGAAGCTGTGGCTGCACCTGCAGTTCTACGTTGACAAGCTATGTAGGCGCTTCATCGACGAGGAGCAGACTGGTCGGCGTCCGAAGACGCCTGTTTCCGTCGACGCTTACGCGGAGCTGACTTTCGACGATGAGGACTTCCAGTCGCGCGAAGAAGAGGAGTACCGTCAGAAGGTCGGTTCTCTGCAGTTCGCTGCCACGACAACTCGGCCCGACATTGCTTTTGCGTGTAGCAAGCTGGGGTCTGGTCTGACGGTGAGGAGCGACCAGCACTGGCGCGAGGTCGATCGCTGCCTCAACTACCTCTCTGACACACATGATTTCGCTCTGGAGTTCGGAGGAGGACCCGAAACTCTGAAACTGGTCGGCTACGCGGACGCGGACGACGCCGGCGACAAGCAGAATCGCACTAGCACAAGTGGCTACGTTTTCACCTTCGGCGGCGCAGCTGTCTCTTGGACGAGCCAACGCATCAAGTGCGTGACTCTGTCCTCCACAGAGTCGGAGTACATCGCGGCCACCGAAGCAGGCAAGGAGGCCCGTCGACTTCGATTCCTCCTCGCCGAGTTCCAGCTCCTCGATGCTGGGACGCCAACTGTTCTGAACGTGGACAACCAGTCCGCCATCGCGGTCGCTGAAGGCTTGGGGCTGAAGGGCAACCTCAAGCACATGGAGCGACGCTATGCCTGGCTGCAGCAGATGGTGAAGCGCAAGAAGATTGCGCTGGAATACATCCCGACATCCGAGCAGCCGGCGGACTTCCTCACTAAAGGGCTGCACTTTCCGGCCTTCAACCGGTGCTCTGTCGCGGTCGGCCAGGTTCGCCTTGCCGAAGTCGGAGACGACGACGACGTGCAGCAGTAGGTGCCATGTCCTCTAACATGGCTGGTGCGGTGATCGGCGTGCGGAGGTGTGCACGCCAGAGAAATGTCCCCTTGTATTTTATTAGCTAGGTTCTGGGTGGACCTTGTGTGTGGGGGCCCAAGCGTGAGCTGGGCAGGGGAGTGTCGGAGTGAAAGGCCCCGCCCTCGCTTGGGCGCAGGCATTCTCCGCTTCGACGTGGTGAATTCGACGAAGTTATCCTCGCATTGGATCAGCCCGTCCTCTGAAACCGCGGGTGGTTTTCGAGGAAGGTTGTCCTCTGATTCACCAGCCCGTCAACGAGCTCTGGTCGACGGGGTGCTGTTCGACGAGCTCGTCTTCTGATCTGCTAGTGGGTCGCGCGATCTCTGACGGACGGGGTGCTGTCCGAGGAGCCGCGTTCTCTGATCGAAGGGCGCTGTTCGGCGAGCGTCAGCTCGGCGAACTGGTCGGCCGAATTCGCACGATTGCGAAACTCTGCGAGGGCATGCGAAATTCGCTCAGGTGGCTCTTAGCGAAATTCGACCTCCGAAATGGCATCACGTGCTCGACGGTGGACATCTGACGAAACCGTCGGAGCGTTTTCTACCTGGCACCTGCGCAATGTCTCTGACGGTGTAACCGTCTACCTGCACCTACTCGGCAGGTGCACACCTGCGCAGATATTCACCTGCGAATGCAGCGCTGGCAGGCCGCCCTGCTGCAGCGCTGGCATGTCGCCCTTCTGCTACGCTGGCAGACCGCTCTGTTTCAGCGTTGGCGAACCGCTCTGATGCAGTGCTGGCAATTCGCCTTGCAGAATGCTTGCTGGGGACCGCATTGCCATTCCAGAGATATCACTTTGCATGCTCATTCTTGTACTCTAATTCTCAATTTCTCAATGTACTTTCAATTTCCTTAGTGGAAACTCTTGCCAAATCTCTCTGTGAACAGAGCAAGTAGTGAGAACTCTGTTAGAACGCTACTAGAGCGCTGCGATCACCCACACAACTCCGTGCCCTCCTTCGTAGTCCACTCCCGTTGTAGGGTGACTCTCCGCAGTTTCGGTTTGTGAGTCACCATGTGATGTACTGTTTATGCTGATTCTACTACGCACTGACTTGGCCTTCTTTCCAACCTCTGTTCTCCATGTTGCCCCCAAACAGCTGGACATTGCAAGTGCCCACGGGCAGATTCGCCGGTCGATTTCATTCCTGGAGTCCCGCTACGTCGATGTGGTGACGACTTTGGAGGCGGGGTGAGCGCGCGCCTCTCCCCGTTCATCAAGAAGCACGGGCCTGAGGGGGGCAATCCCGAGGTGAAGGTGGAGGGAGTCGACTCGGACGGGCGGCCCACGACACACACCTTCGAGCTGCACGAGAAGCCGAGCGTAGACTACCCGACCCTCGGCTCCCACGACGCCTGCGTCGATCTCTGCACCACCTTCGCCGAGACGCTCGTGCAAAACCTCAGCACACGGTTCAAGGACCTCGACTCCCTGGTGAGAGTGCGGCTGTTCATGCCTGGCGAGTGGGAGCTGGGGAGAGCGGAGCGCCACAGGCAGTGTCTCGAGTGGCTCGAGTCTCTCGTGAGCCTATTCAGGGCACAGGACACGAACTACATCATTCCAGGTATTCCCGCTCTTGCACTGTTGCTATCCGTGCTGTTGGGTCATTGCATTTCATCAATGTATGGTGCATGCACTTGCCAGCCTTTCAGAAACCCCCTCTCTCTCCCTTCTGCCTTACGTGGCAGGGGTCGACAAGCGGCGTGCGATCAAGGAGCTGCGTGCCTTCTGCCCCATCCTCGCAGGTGCCCCGAAGAACGAGCGGAGCTTCCACGCAGGCCTAACAGCAATGCTGAAGACGAGCGACTTGGCGACTAGCTACCCCAATCTGGTGCGTCTCTGGGTGGCTGTCGCCGTGCTGCCGCTGAGCACAGTGGAGTGTGAGCGCGGCTTTTCACGCCAGAACGTTATCAAGTCGTGGCAGCGGGGGAGCTTGAAGGACGCCCGCCTCGATGACCTCATCACCATGTCTCTACTCGAGTACGAGCCCAACTACGATGAGGTGGTGCAGATCTGGCGCAGCTACAAGAAGCGCCGCCCATTCGGCAATGTGGCGGCACCACCAGCAAGAGAGGGGGAGGGCGGCAGTGGTAGCAAGGGAAAGGAGGTCCTAGATGAGGATGAGTTGGAAGGACGACACGCTAAAGGAAGAGATGCTGATGATGATTGCAACCAAGCCTCTGATGATGATTACTGATGATGATTGCAGAGCTAGCTAGCTAGTTAGGCTTCGGTTTACAACACAGATAGATAGATTGAAGGCTGTTTGCTTGCTACGTAGAGTTTTTGACTGATAATAATGACTATTAGTAATATCAGCCTTTTTCTGTAGGGGACACTGATGCATCAGACTTTTAAAAAATATAACACTGAAATATCAGGCTTTTTTCCAAGGCGACCCTGACGATCAGTGTCTAGGGGCAGAGGGACCCTGATACCCTTACGTGCCTCAAAGTCAATCTGAGGGACTGCCCTCCATCTCAACGTCGTCCTTCTCCCTGTCCACCAAATCCACGCTCGAGTATGGTTGACTCTATCGTCGAGATTTGACCATGGGGGCATGTTTTAACCATACTTGAGTCAACCATACTCGATGCGTGCAACCATTACGTCAACCATTACTCGATGGGGGCATGTTTTAATGGTTCATACCTAGCCTTGTCATATACCTAAATGGATTTCGATTCAGGAGTTAATCCTTTACGGTAGTGTGCTGGATGAATGTGAAACCAGGCATTCGATGAAAACAGAAGCTCGTGGAAACATCCAGCTGGCACCGTCTCTTCTCCACTCGTTGGCAAGGGTTCCCTTCCATCCATCCTCCACTCCCCGTTACAGTTCACTTCCAAGCCACACGGACGCGTCGCGTTGATGCTGGTGTGTCGTAGCTGACTTCAACAGTGTGTTCTTGTACATCGTCGGACCCCGTTAGAAGTACAGTATGCTGCGCCGCAAAAGACATCAACGAGCGGCTCCCCCAAGCTAGTGATGTGGTTCAGTTAGGTTCGGATCTCCCGTTTGTACGGAGTAAGGGAAAATGAAGTCGGTTTGCTTGCTGGATGGGCGAAGGCGAAAGCTGATTCGTTCCCGTCATATGCCCAAAATTCGTCACCATGCACAAGCCATCTCGAAGCTGCAACCAATTCCACGTCAGCAATCATGGAGCCGCGTCGCGTGCCTGCGAGGCACGATCTCATTGGTGTTTTAATCACAACAGCAGCTTCTCCCAAACCCCATTTCCGAGCCAAGACAGGCTTCTCTGGCTATCGAACCATCAGGGTGATACGATGCCGAGTGAGCATGGATACCTTGGCAAGGGGCGCCCTCAGGTCTGGTTGGCCTTGCGGCTGGTGAGCCAAGGCACAGCTTCGGCATTCAGCTCAAACCAGCATACGCCAGCCAACCATACACACACCCCTGTCCCCCACAAAACCTCCCCGAATACCCACAACCCCCCGAGCCTCCCCCCCAATCCCATTTCGCTGCGATCGCGTGGACATCGCCCCAGCAGCAGGGATTTGTGCTGGTCCGCCCGCAACCGCCTCACCACAGCCGAATTTCCCCTGCCTTCGACGATTCTTCCTCGTTACCTGACGGCGAGGGCTGGCTGAGCTGCTGAATTCCAATTTCTACTCCTCACCGCCCCTCATTTCTCAAATCTGCTGATTAGAGCTTTTTTTATGTCAGAGGTGTTCTCTGGCGTTGCTAGCTTTGAAGGAGCAGCAGTTCTCCGAAGCCAGCCTGAGCAGATCCATTGCGCCCACGATGAGGACGAGCAACCCAGCTGTGGTCGCGCTCCCGCTTGCCCTGCTCCTCTTGGTTTCATCATGGCCCGCTTGCACGTTTGCGGATTTCGCGGGTGACGACGCTTCAGTTACGACAATGGAAAAGGAGCTGACTTTCGCGGGACTCACGGGATTCGTGAGCCTTCTCAAGCAAGCCGGCCTCATGTCGGAGCTGGAGGTGCGCGCGCGGAATGGATCCGCGCTGTCTCTCTTCGCGCCGACCAACGAAGCGCTCATGCGCACGGACCCGGCTCTCCTCGCGTTTCTCAAGCTGCCGCGCAACGAAGCCATGCTGCGCGACGTGCTGCTGTACCACGTCATTGAGAAGCCCGTGTCGGCCTTCGCGTGGGAAGGTTCCTACACCACGCTGCAGGGCGCGCCGATTCAACTCCACGTGGACGCGCTCGCGTTTCAAGTCGGTGAATCGACCGTGAAGCAGTACAAGGCTGTCACCATGTCCATGGGCATGGCCGAAGAGGAGAGCGCGGACGTTTTCGCGGGCACGGTCGTGGTGCACTCTATGAATGCGCTGCTCGTGCCGCCTTTTCTGGACGAAACCTTTTTGCACACCGACCTGAACGTGATCGTCGGCGAAGCAAACGAATTCGATGTCGATCAAGGCTTGTACGGGTCGGACATCCGGCGGTCCATGCTCGCTGGGGCGCCGGGTTCCATGCCTCTTCCAGGCCCTCCTGTCACTCCCCCGCCACCTCCGCCCACGGAAAGCCCGGTCCAGCCGCTCCCTACTCCCCCCCCTCCCACAACCGCGCCTCCGCCTCCCAAGTCTGCTCCTGGTACGAATCTTCTTTTTTTCCTTCTTTTCGAAGGCATCCGTCAACTTGTATGTGTGCCCCCTGCTTGCAAGTGTTTTCCTGCTTTCTATCCCGTGCCGCTCATGTTTGTGTGCCCACATTCTCGTCACCCTAACTGAATTCACTTGAACCGCACCCATTCTTGCGTTCACCCAGGTTCGCTGGCCTTCCGACAGCTGCTTCCTACCATGGGCGTCGCCCTCCTCGCCCTTGTGGCGTTGTTGTGAGGCACGCCGCTATCGCCTGTCGTGAACCCTGTTGGTCCCTCCCGCTCGCTGTGACGGGGAGGAGGTCGCATTGCAACCCGGTTATCTGTTTGGCGCGTCATCTTCTAAGGTCGCGCTGACACGCATCATGCCTGTGAGCATCTCGAAGTCCACTTCTTGTAGACTCTTAAAGCACGATTAAGCACCCTCATGGGCATGTGCTGATGCGTGTGGCACAATTTAGGGAGCTATGATAAAGTTGTCCTGTGTTACTTCAGAACAACAGCACCCCCAAATAAATTTTATACATGTGAAAACACCCGTGGACGGATGGTTGTGTGACTGCCAGATTTAGACAGACAGGAACCTGAACACATTGCAGGTATCAGGGGAATTTCAGCCTGGTATCTATCAAGGGTTGGCATGCTGACCAGTGGGATCGCGGGGGACTAAACCGCAGCAAGAATGAGCATACCGTACAGTGTTGCTCACCGTCAGTCAGCCTAGGTAGTTAGTGTCGCCATCCACCTGATCTGAACCACAGACAGCTTGTGTCGTAAATGCTGGAATAATTTTCGGCCCTTCGAATGATGGTAAATTGTTGGCAGCATCAACATCGCACATAAACTAGGAATCCAGGTGCAATGCAACCAATACAGTTCTATCATTTCAACAGAGTGCTCAACAATCTACCTAAGAACCTTAGTGTGGGCGGTACCACTGTTTATATTGCGTGTAAAGTACCGTAGTATGCCTAAAACAGAATAAAGCGTGATCGCTATATCGAAACACCCTCGAATCGCCGACCGCCCAACCAATGAGGGGTGCACCCGCACCGAGGGCTCTCCTTTGCAGGGTGTTTTACCCTGTTTTCCCGGCCAAGCAGGGTGCTTTTTCAGCGCTACTCTGGCAAAACAGGCCCCCAGTAAGTCACCCGGCCAGAATTGGACTTCCTGATATTTTTACACGGCTAAGCAGGCTTGGCATCGTTCTCGCCCGGCCAGACTGCTAAAGTGTTCCTGAAATTGTTCTGCCCATGATATATTTCCTTGGCAAAAGAACGCTAAGTCCCCTGTTTCTGTTAGGTCGTTTTGCCGAGCACCAACTTTGGGTGAAAAATGTTTAAGTACTGAGACTCGCAAACACAGCTTAAGAAATTGTTTAGTACAAGACTCGCAGATGCAGTTGTAGAGCAAGCCAGTCCCACACAGCAATTCTCGAAATTGTGACAAGTCATCAACTCTCTCTTAGGCAGAGTAGCGCAGATTGTGACACTGCAAATCAGGGACTCGAACAAATACCCTGCCACACCCTGATTTTTCCGCGCGCCACCCGGCCTTGGCCGGGTGGCGGGCGGCGGGAACCCTGATCTGGAAGAGTGCCCCGAAACGAAAAGAGAGCCCTGCTCGCACCACACCCACAGACAGCAGCTCGCATTCAGCAACTTCGTGCGCAAGATCGCCGACGTCTCGATTTCTTCCACCGCTTCGCAGCCGCACATCCCCCACCGACCAAGCACTACCCCACATCACTCCTCCATGACCACTGCCATCGCTTCAATTCAGCTTTGAAAAGTTATCAGCGCACCATGGGAAATCAGTGGGGCATTTTCCAGCGTGCGAGGCAACGGATTCCGCAGGTGGCATTTTCCCCATGGCGAGCGAATGTTTCCCAGCAAACACAACCTGGACGACTCCCGCCTTCTCAAGAGCAGGCTCCTTCCACAGCCATTGCACTCCGCATTGCTCCCCGCGTTCCGCGTCGCTGCTCGCGCCGTTCCCAGCAAGCAGCGCGGCGTCGCCGCGCCACGGGCTCGATGCGCTCGACGCCCTCAGCGCGTTCGACGCGCTCGTGCTGTCGGGCAGCAATGTGGCGTTCTGGGTGCAGGTGCAAGGCACGGGCTTGCTTCTGCTCCTCGCTCTCCTGTGGTTCAAGGCCTCTCAATTGCGCCTCAACGAGGCTCGGAGAATACTCCGAGAACGCCGCCGCTCCGAAGAACTACTAGTACGCGACGCAGCGCCGGTCACTGCCCGCGATTTTGCTAGTGGTGGTAGAACCGCTCACCTTGGGAATCTCTCTCACGATGCGCGTCACGCGCAGCGGCATCAGCGCGCCTCGGAGCAGCAGCACCACGTGCAGGACCACTTGCAGCAGCAGCAGCAGCCGCAGCAGCCGCCGCAGCCCCAGCAGCAGCAGCCGCAGCACGAGCTTCCCAAAGTGACCGTCGTTCTCGCCGTGAAAGGCTGCGCGGGCGACGCGGGGATGAGCAACTGGCGGTCGCAAGTCCAGATCCGCTACGGCGGCGCGACGGAGTACATATTCTGCGTGGAATCCGCCAACGACCCCGCGTGCCGCGCGGTCAAGACCCTCCAGCGAGAAATGCGCGGAGTCGCGGAGATACGCCTCGTCGTGGCGGGCCTCGCGTCGCGCTGCTCGCAGCAGATCCACAACCAGCTCGCGGGCGCGGCGCGCGCGAAACCGGACTCCAAATACCTCCTTTTTTTCGACGACGACATCCAATCCCACCCCGACACACTCACCCTGCTCGTGACAGCCATGGAGCGAAATCCCAGCGCGCTCGTCTGCACGGGGTACTCATTCGACTTCCCCGGCGCGGACGCGCAAACCAGGCGCAATCTCGCGGCGTACGCGGCCATGGCCTACCGCGTGCCCGTGCAGCTCGCCATGGCGTCGGGCGGGAAGCAGCTGCCCGTGTGGGGCGGCTGCATGATGATCCGCCTCGACGACCTCCGCGCCAACCGCTACGGCATGGTTTCCGCGCTCTCCGCGCGCGGGTACAGCAACGACCTCACTCTCTCCGCCATCGCCGCGAGCAACGGCCGCGACGTCGTCTGCCCCGCGGCGGCGATCTTCCCGGGGAGGCTGTCCGGCTCGTGGACGTTCCAGCGGTACTGGAACTACGTGCGCCGGCAGACGTTCGCGCTCACGACCTTCTGCTCGCCCGTCGCTCTCGCGCTGAACGCGTGCGGGTTGCTGCTGTACGCTTACGGCTCCGCCTGCCTGCTCGCGCCGCTGCTGCCGTCCGCTCTCCGCGTGGCGCGCTTCCTCCTAGCGTTTGCCGCTCGCGGCGAACCTGCGTGGAGGAACCTTCCGAGTACCGGTCCTGACTGGGATCCCTCGTACCCTTCCAGCCTCACCAGCCTCACCAGCCCCACCAGCCTCTCTGGTCTCTTTGCTCTCCCCAGCTTCACCAGAAGCGCCGCCATTGCAAACCTGGCCATTAGATTCGTCCTGGCCAATGCGAGCCTCTTCCTCGCGCTGCTGTACCTCTCAATGCTCGCCCTCGCAACGGTCGCTGTGGTCCGCCTGTTCTATGGGACGTTCACGCTCTGCAACGTCCTCTCCCCCGAGAAGCCCCCCCTTCGCCTGGGCAGCCTCAGCCTGGTGCTGGGCGTGGCGGGCATGCTGGTTAATTTAGCAGTTGTCCCTGTTGTGACGGTGTACACGCTGCTGCAACCCGCGATTACATGGGCTGGGATCACGTACGTGCGGCGCAGGGGACTTATTGTGGAGGTCAGGCATCCCCAGCAGCAGCCGCAGGTGGGGCAGCAGCACGGGGAGGAGAGGAGGGACGAGGTTGCAGAGGAGAGGGACAAAGGTGAAGAGGAGGAAATCGAGGGAACAAAGGAGGTGGAGCTTGAAGAGGAGGATGCTGAGGAGGAGCAGCAGCAGTGGCTGCTGCCTCCCCTGGCATCGTCACCAGTTCTTAGCCTCAAGCCGACAGGGTTAGTAGGAGAAGACTAGATACGGTAAGATCATGGGAACCGGGCACTGGATGAACTGTGCTGCAGGCCTGTGCGGGGTCCTCTGCGGTACAAGACTAGACTACCCTTGCTGCAAAGGCTGCTGAGGCGCTGCAGCTGCTGGGTGTTGCTGGTACTGAGTAGGACTGTGGTTGCCATAACCGTGTGTTGTGTTCCGCCTCTGCTAGAGGAGAACCCCTAGGGCCTTCTTGCCTGGCCCGGTAGGGGGCCTTGCTTGGCCTGGTAGGGCCTTGCCTGGCCTGGTAGAGCCTTGCCTGGCCTGGTAGGGCCTAGCCTGGCCTGGTAGGGCCTTGCCTGGCCTGGTAGGGCCTAGCCTGGCCTGGTAGGGCCTTGCCTGGCCTGGTAGGGCCTGGTCTGGCCTGGTAGGGCCTGGTCTAGCCCTGCTTGGCCTGGCCTGGCCTGGCTTGACCTGAAGCCAGTCAGTGACAGGTGGGACTGGGTCACTGATGCATGAGGTCCTGACGCAGGAGGACACTGCTTGTAGATGGTCTTGTACATACAATGGGTATGATATGACAATGATGGGGACGTTTGTGGGAATAAGCAGGCACCCTGCAGAGGCATCTCTTGAATCTTTCCAGCATTAACAGGCAACTACCAGTACCATACAGTACTATCAAATCAATGTGCATAGGTCCAGGGCCCAATCAACAGATCACCACATTACGGTATATACGGTATGAAAAGGGAGCAGTACCGTACATATATTAGATAGAAGCATTTACTGTATTACTAGACATGCTTCTGTGACTCTGAACAGCCCAACACGAGTATGCTATGCACAGGCCTAGACGAAGATGCTGCAAACAAAACTAGGGGCATGCACAACACCCCAGTGATACAGTACCACTCAACTCAACTCAACCATCTGCTATACAGACAAAGCCTCACTAGTCGGGAAATGCGGCCCTGCGTTCTGCATGATGAAATCCTTCATGCTGTCTGTAGGCTCCATGAGCGCCAGCTTATAAGGGGGATTGAAAGCAGGCACAGTTCCAACAAACTCATGAAGTGTCGACCCATTCTCCAGCCGATTCCCATACGATCTTATCGTGCCGGTATTGTCAAACGTCGGGGTGCTGAGAGCCCCACCGAACCACGGCGTCACCTCCTTTCTATCCCCCCCGATAAAATAATTCCTCTCGGACCGTATCCGCCCGTACACCCGCGCGCCCAGGCAATAATACCCCCACGACGTGTACAGCGAATTCGCCACGTGGCACGAACCCCATCGACAGTGCGGCTGCCTCTGCCCCGCGCGATCGTACCAGTTCCGATACACCGTCACGCGGAGGTTCCGGTCGTAGTAAGCATCGTCGGCCGCCCCTAGCAGCTGGACGAAATTCTCGTTGTGGAAGTAGGTATTCGAGACGGTAACGTCTGTGGAGCCGTAGACGACGCTGATGGTGCCGCGCGCCGCGTTGTAGACCTTGAGGTGGTCCACCCACACGCGCGTGGTGTTGCGGATGTGCAGAATGTCCGTGTCGCCTGGAATGTCGCCCACTGGAAGAGGGGGGACGGGAGGGGAAGTGCAGGGAGGTGTGGCGTTAGAAGGAGGGGAGGGGTGAGGCGAGGAGAGGAGAGGAGAGGAGAGGAGAGGAGAGGGGGAGCAGCAAAAGGGAGAGGGGGGGGGGGGAGGTGGATTGCAGGGCACGCGAGCTCGGCAGAGAGTGGTGTGACTGCTGGGAAAAGGGGTGCAGGTCATTAGTGGAAAGCAGCCCGGCAGTAAAAAGGAGAGAGAGAAGCTGATTGAGGAGAGAGAGGAGAGGAACCCATCGTCCACTGATTCTCCACCCATCCACCCATCCACCCATCCACCCATCCACCCATCTATCCATCCATAAGTCCATCGGCGCACCTTCAAGGTTATGGAAAATCACATTCGAGACCCAGTAGGCGATGAGCGGCCCGCCGGTGATGACGATCTGGTGCCCACGCCCGTCGATTGTGGTATCCCCGTTCACATACAGCGCCTGAACCAGCGTGATCGTCATAGAATTCGCGAACGTGATATACACCCCATCAGTACAGTACTTCATCGCCCATCGCAACGATCCTTCCGTCCAGCCAATGCTGACATCTTCCGACGTGGTAACCACGTAACCCGCCGGGTACCTCCCGCCGCAAGTCTTCCGGAAACCACCTGTTACACCGCTAGTAGCAGCGTAACCCATGGCGCACTTGTGCAGGTTGGCGGAACCAGCGCCCGCTGACGTGTACGGGCAATCCGGGGAACCACCCGCCGCCGCGGGGGTAGTTCCGCCGCTGCTCGACGGGGTGGGAGGCTTGGGTTTTTTCTTGTAGGACTGTCGCTTCTTTCGGAGTAGCTGCTGCGTTTGCTCGTGCTGCCACGAAAGCTTGTCCGCTTGCCGCTGCCCCGCACCGCTGAACAGCGGCGCGGAGAGCGCCGCTTCGTCCGCGTCGAACCACGTGGCGAAATTCCGCTGCTCTAGCAATTCCCGCCCGCCAATTCCGCCGCGGGACGCGCCGTCTTGGTAAGGGGAGCCGAGTAGAGGAGACGCGGAGAGGAGCAGCGAGAGAACGGGTACGAGGAAGAAGAGGCGACGGGGAGCAGGCGCCATGGCGCGGCTTGATGGGGATGCGAAGGTGGTGATGGTAGCGATTGCACTTGGGTCCAACCGAGCAGCGGGTGGTGTAGAAACAGAAGGAAGTGGTTACGAATCAAGAAGCTAGGCTACATAGGGTGTTGTGAGATGGAGCAGAAAGCCTTCAGGACCCGCCTTCAGTCACCGAAGGGTGTGACTATGGCGGGGTTGCCTGTCGAGTAGCGCGAGAATCATGTGGCAGTGATCGTGTGCTGTGTGTTCCCTCTCTAGGAATCGTCTATAGGAATTATCACACACCGCCTCGGTCGGTACCCTCTTTGGAATCGACTCTAACGCCCCTTCGCGCACCGCCTCGCCGTCGTGAAGAATGTCTAGTTCACTAGAGCAAGCTTTGCAGTGGGGCTAATCTCGCTTGACAGATCGAGCTTCCGCGATTTTTATTGTTGCGGACAGAGAGGCTACGCGACGCGACCACGGCGTTGAGGGGTCGGCCAGGATACGAAGGGATGATCGATTCCAATTTCCAAACCAAGCCGTGGGAGGAATGTGTACCTCTGAGTTGGGTGATGTTGCGGGCACACGGGTTTTATGGAGGTAAGTTCGGCACCGTTTCTATCGCGGCGGACTTCATCTGAAGCTTGAAATGAACTGGGACAGATTTAATGGTCGGATAGGTGGCACGCGGCAAGGGGGTACAAAACAAGAGCGCCATGAGGAAACTACAGCGAGGCGAGCCGCGAGATGATGCGCCATAAAACCGTACACGTACACTACAAACTTTGTTGTGTGTCTGCGGTGGACTGGTCGGTTGTTATCCGGGGAGGGTGGGTGCTCTGCTGCGCGCGGTTGGAAGGAAGGGGGACGAATGTCGGTCGTTTATCGGCGGGTTAGTTTTGAGAGCCCAAAAAGGAGGGGGAGGCGGGGAGGAGGGAAGGGGAAATGTCGAGTGGCGGAGTTACAAGAAATGAGAGGAGGAGAACGGTAGAGAAAGAAACCTGTACGGTGAAGGGTTGTTATACAAGGTTTTTGCGGGGTAACAATGTTGTTTGCTTGAGGCGGTCAGGTTAACAGGAGGCAGATTTACAGGATGCGCTCGTTTCGCTTGCCTAGCGTTTGTGGTAACCGTCGCTGGGTGATGGTGAGGGAAGGGGAGCGCATCCACGTCGCAGGGCAGAGGTGATGGGTTACAAGAAACATCGCACGGAGGCGGTGGAGGAGCGGTTTGGTTTGCCGAGTTGTTGCTGCGAGGAAGATGCGACCCAGACTTCGCATGACCATGCGATTTTCGAGTCGCAAGAATTCGCAACACAAGTCCCGCGTGAAAATAATTCATCTGATGCGATCATGTGGGAGGAGATTGTTCCGCCGTCACGACATTGCCTGCGGAAACCGACATGTACGACAGCCACTTGCTTGTCGGAAAGAATTGTGGCATGGTTTTCATGCTCCAGCGTTGGCGGGAACCCGACGACGCAAAGAAATGGAAGTATGCCACTCAAAGCAGAACACGTGGCCGTTCCCGTTACAACCCACTTCAGGCTGTGTGACCCCCCACTACACTTAACTTTCATCAGCACACTACTGCAACCCTTGTCAGCCTTATTGATGTATTAGAGACTAGCGGTAATATTTGCATCCAAACAATATATCCACTCTAGGAAGACGACGACAAAGTAAGCACAACCTGAATTTCCGAGCCTGGGTGAACATTGTAATGTGCGAGCAAACGTCCACTGGCCATCTCGTTGCCGGCAAGGAATAGCCTCTGCTGCTCGACAGGGATGTGTTCTTGCTCTTGCACCCGGGCCTTCACATCATCAACTGTGGCATTGGCATCCACTTCAATTGGAATAGTCTGACCGCCTGTTTTCACAAAAACTACCATCTGGAATAGGCAAGGAAAAAGCCCATAGCAACAAATGACGAGGTAAAGTGGCAAGACATATAAAACATGTGCCCTGGTGAGAAGAACCAAAATTTCCATTGCCCAGCAAGTTATTATTACACCATGGTGCACAAATAGCCAGAGAGGCAATCATGGGGATAACCGTACAGAATCAAATGTTCGCCTTAAAGACATCGCGAACGCCACTATCTCTCACCCCAAGCAGCCGTACTCACCGCATCCGAGTCCCTCTTGCTAGCTAGAGATTCTCTCCGGCTGACCGGCTGGCTGCTCACTCCGTCCATACTCCGTTGAGACGCCGACGACAGCCGTACGCCCTGCTGTCCAGAAGACTGGCAAGGTGGAGGGAGGTGTTTTGTATGGTTCAATGTGTAAGGAGAAAACAAAATGAGTGGATGCGGATAAAATTATTTGAAGGGTAATCTTTTGCAGGTGATCACCAAGACCGACATTTGCTTGGGAACCAATTACCTGGAAATAATATAGCAACATGTGATTCAGTTTCTCGCTAATATATTAGTCACCAGTCACCTGTTAAACTTACTGTTAACATTCAGTCTCCGTCTCCCACTCACCCGTCCGCCTGCGGGGGATACGAGGCACAGTGGTGGCGCGACAATAAACAGCTTCTCCGGCGCGCCGTCGCGCAAGAAGCGCCAGACATCCTCGTCCGCCAACTCCGTGTCTGGGGAGCTCTCCGGGAAAATGCGCAGATTAGCCGCGGAGCAGTGCGCGAGGTCGCGCGCCCGGCGACGCTGGTGAATGGTATCGCGCAGGGAGATGGCGACGTCCTCAGGGTCCGCCTCCAGATACACCTCCACCCGATCTACCTTCCCCACGCGGTTATCTGGGTGCGACCCGCCGCTGGATGATTCGAGAAACAAGTCGTACTTAACTGAAACGACCTGTCCAAGGGATGCCATAACCTTATGGGGGAATCGACAAAAACAACGCTATTTTCTGGGATTCCACTTGCTGTCAGATTGTTGAGGCGGACTTTCCTAAAACGAAGAGAGAGTTCACAGAATAACCGTTTTATGCGAATAAAACTAGGCTGAGTTCTTCCACCGAATAGAGCTACTACCTGTACCTTGGCCCTCAGCCCTGCAGAGAATGCTGAATATTAGACGATTATGGTTGTGTCCCAATGAGGCACGGATAGAAGAAATTGGAAGGGTCACTCAGCTGCTGCGCCTAGATCTGACATTCGGGCAACAAAACTGGAGAAACGGAGTGAAGAAAGGAGCTGTGAATGGACACATCTGGGCTGGTTCGTCTCGGCAGTAACGAAGCAGTTGTTGGCGAAGAGGAGAAGCTTGTGCCTATATTGGGCCAACCCAGGTTTACGTATGACGAGTGGAGTGACTGACGGTCGTATCAAATGGTTTCCAGATAGAGAGTGTTGTCATGATGAATGTAGTAGGACGTGTGCACATTTGATGTGAACTCTTAAGCAAATGATAACAGATTTAGTGATAACACCAAATGGATGAGGGTGATTGATTTTTTTGGCTGAGTTTTTGTGTCATTATAAGAAAAAGATGCTCCTAGGACAGCAAGTGATGATGATAAATTCAACATGACACCAGCAGAGTAACTTTCGTTTTCTACTTGTTATGTGTTGGTGTCGCGGTGCCCGTTTGAAGGTGTTGGCTTCTAGCGCTGTTCAATGCGACAACAACAATAGATATCCAGCGAAACACCTGCGCTTCGTCTGATCACTTCCTGCGATCCCAGTTTCGCCATCTTCTCTTGCTAGAGTGGGGGAGACTTTTTGGCAGGGCACGAAAGAGGCATACCCATCGGTTGGAGAGGCACACAGCGTGGCAATACTGGTTAAACTACGGTTCGGGACGGGACAGTATGGTACTCTCGATCGATGTAATCCGTGAAACCCGCTAACAAGACCAGGAAGGTGATGGTGAGGTGCTAGAGGTGAGGTGAGGTGTTCCTTCGAACCTAAGAATCGAAGGTCCGTGAGGGCTTGTGGTAGCAGGGTAATTGATCTTAATTAAACCATACATCAGAATCATGTTTCTCAAACCGCCGGAGCTTTATGAGGGGTACATGAAAAGCATCCGCAGATCAAAATTATGTGTCAAGACCTTTCTTATGTTACCATTTCGGGAACGGGCATTTTGAGGTCATTCCTCTCAAGTTTGACCCGTGTCCCAAAACCTTCTACAGACGCTTAGGAAATTGGTTGAACCTGCTGTATTTGTGCGACCCCTGCCTGACACCAGACATTCACCTACACCCTTCATCCTGACATGTAAGTGAGCAATGCCCCCAAGTACTAGTAGAGGGGAAGTTTTCGCCTAAATCTCGATCAGGGTTTGGGCACAAACCCTGGACATTCAGGGTTACGTGTGCAGAATCTCTGCTTTAGTCCAGGTAGTTAGCGACAGCCAAATTCCATGTTTGCATCGCTCCCCTGAGATTTATTTCTGGAGCAAGTGTCTGGCCAAATTCCTCCACAGGCAAGACAAACACCCACATTTCCTAATCGGGAGGAAAACCACCCCCCAGCAGCAGCCATCTTCTCACGAGAGCGGCAGATCCACCTGCACCTCTTCGAGCGGAAGTCGTGCGTTGACTGAGGCCACATCGCAGCAGCAATTATCTCAGTAGTCATCTTGGGGCGGAGTCGAAGTTCTTTTCACCGTCGCCCGATTTCGAACCCTAAAATCACAAGCGGTACCACCACCACCACCATCAATAGCTGGATCATCAGCGTCACCACGAACCACGAACCGCCTGCGCCTCTCAATATCCTGCGTCGGAGCCCTTCCTGCAATGGCTCTCTCGTTCTCGTCGCCTCGTCGCACGCTCTGCGTCGCTTTGCTGCTCGCGGTGCAGCTCTTTGCGACGGAAGTCGTCGCAACCAGCACGGTCGTGGTCATGGTACGCCCGTTCTCGAGTTTGTGCGGGATGCCCCGTTACAGTGACCCGTGGGTAGTAACAAATCTTAGCAGCGGTTTTGGTAGTACTGGTAGTAGTGCTACATTGAGTATTGGGGAGTATTGCTCGAGTCGGCGCGGAGCAAATGTGCTGCTTGCTTAGCAGGGTGTCTCCCAACCGTCCCCTCCGTAATTTCCTTTATCTGTCGGCGACGTCCAATTTGTGCGTGTCGGAGTGTAAGAATGATGCGAGATTGCGCCTGGTTGAGTTTTGCTAGCGTCGCATTTCGACACGCGTTTGAAAATGGTGAAGTTTTCTGTTTAGATCTTCCTACGAAACCAGCTGATTATTGGGGTGTACCTCTTTCTGCCGTTGAAGAATATTCAAGAACTCGCTTTCCCCCTGTCCGTTTTACCTGATCCCTTTCACTCCTCCCCGCAGCGCGCGACTGACACCGTGAACACTCTCTGCGTCGGCCGTCGCCAGCCCGAGTTCGGCGTCGCAGCGCTCGCAGCGTTCGCACAGTCTGTCGCGGATAGCACGGACATGGGCGCGGTCTTCGAGAGCACGAGCGACATGCCCTCCTATTTCTACGTCGGCAACTCCGCCAAGCTCAAGCGCCTACACCGCTGCGCCGATTCCCTCGTCTACTACTCGTACGCTCCGCCCGCCTCTGCCGGCGCGCGGGGATCCTTTGCGCGCATGTCTGCGCTCCCGCCGGTTGTGGCGCAGTCCGCCTTCATCTTTTCGATTTCTCCCGCTGCGCTCGACAATGCTGACGTGGAAATGACGGTCGTCAACTATTCCCCGCGCCCTCTGACGGTTACCGGCCCGATTGCTGGCGAGATTCAGGCTACAGAAGGGACGGTGTCAGCTACAGAAACGCTGGTAAGCTGCGTCGCGACGCGGGAGAGCGAGAGCGATCATGCGATCACTCTACATTTGTGCGCCTCCCTCTTCCATATTCTACGCCCTTTGGGTGTGTGGTTCACCATTTCACCCGATCCGTGATTCCTCCCTTCCCAAATTCCAGAATGTGGATTCGGAGGTCCCCCAGGTGGTGTCGGACTACCTTGTAACGGTTGCCCTGACGCAGAGCAAGAAGCTGCGAGGAACCATCATCGTGTCGTCGTCGCCCACCAACAACCCCGATGGCACCCTCTACACTGCCACATACATCATCTATAAGCCGTTCCCCAACAGCGATGGCGGAATCTGCACCACTGATGCTGACATTCCCTGCTTCACCTTCTCCTACCAGACCGCTACGTTCTTTGAACCTGCTGCAGATGCTGCATCAGCAGCAGGGGCTGACGGCGGGGATCAGGGGCAGCAGCAGGCACCGCCAAGGGCTATGCTGGAAACTGGGGGGTCTGCTAGTGATGGTGTGCAGAATTCTGCTCTGGCTGTCGGTGCTGGTCACAGGAAGCTGGGGCGGGTTCTGATTTCGGAGATTGGATATGCAATGGCAAGTGATCGCGTGGTTGCTACCGCTAGCGCTGTCAATCGCTGCTACTACCTGGCAGGCAAGCTCGTCTGCAGTACCTCCTAGAAAAAAGTCATTCTGGTAACATGATGTGCATTAAATGTTTTGTAAACCTAACCCACCTTGTGTTGTATTGTAATTGTAATGGAAACGATTTTGGTGCCTTCTTTGTTTATTAGTTCGGAATTCTGGCTCAGTCGGCGTATCTGAGATACAGTAACGTATATGTCAAGAAAACACCAGCTGTGAATCTGTGATCCGATCTGAGAAATAGTTCTGCCAGCTGGATGGGCTTGGTTGGGCAATAGGTACCCAAAAAAATTCACTTTCTGACGCCGGTGGCGGTCGGTAGCGCCCGGTAGCGCCCGGTAGCGCTACCGACCGCGTCAGCACGCTGCCCGCGGGCAAAAAAACTAAACCCCATGGCTTACGGCATGCCATTCGGGAGCCTCAACCCTAAAATTTTAGGGTTGAGGCTCCCTCGGATGGCATGCCATCCGATGGGGTTTATATTTTTTCTTGCCCGCGGTCAGCTTGCTGACTCGATTGCACTGCCAGCAACTAAACCCCATGGCTTACGGCATGCCATTCGGGAGCCTCAACCCTAAAATCTTAGTTCGTGTCTGTAGGCTTGACATGTCAAGTGAGGGCGTGTCAACCCGAAGCGCATTCAAATTAGCGTGTCAACATTGTAGCTGAAGTGTCAAGTCGAAGCGCATGTACGAACATCAGCGACGGAATTTCATTGGTTTGAGAATTTGTCATGGGTGGATCTGCCAGGTAGCGAACAATTCAAAAGACAGATTGTGTGCTGATTGGGCAGCATCTGGTCGTGAGATAGGCACCTGCGACCATCTTCTCTCGTTTGTAGGTTTGACTGTGCCAATTTAGAAAGTGTCCGACGATTTGTATTGGATGGCAACATGCAATTTCTTGACACCCTGCCAACAATGTTGGCTGAGTGTCAAAATGCCAAATTGACACTGCCCGCTTTGACATGTCATCCCTACGGACACGACCTTAGGGTTGACCTTAGGGTTTATATTTTTCTTGCCCGCGGTCAGCTTGCTGACTCGCTGGCAGTGCAATATATTCTTCCATTTCATTACGCAACTGTGGTTTCCCCCCAGCTCAGCCCACACTCCCCCTCCGCTCCGAGAAAATAGTCTGGTCTGGTGTTGCTGTGTGATGGCCCCTCCGCGCTTGCGCACCCCCTCACTCACCAATCACCCGCTATTTTGCCCCCGCGTCGTGCTGCCGCATGCATGGTTGTGCACATGCCGTGACCGTGAACCGAGTGCTCACTTCCCAGCCCAACCTAGTGCATTGCGTTGCGTGTTGCCAGCAGATTAATTTCTCCATTGCTGCCCCGACACCGCGTCCCTCCCCCTCCTCCTCCTAACACCACCTCTCTTTCCCCACGCCCTCAATTCCAATGGCGGGAAACCTGCCGTACTTGCCGCCGGCGAAGGTGGCGGCGAGCGCGGATCCGGTGTGCGTGTTCGGCGAGGAGTATTGCCTGCCGTACGAGACCACGCTGCTCGTGCGCTCGCGCAAGTGGCAAATGGCCGACGAGTTCGAAGTCACTGACGTGGAGGGCCGCACGCACTTCAAAGTCGAAGACAAGTGAGTGCCTCCCGCGACGGAGGGGGCTGTAGCGAACGAGGGGTTGTTAGAACACCTCGTTACCCACTGGGTCAAAACGAGGGTAGTATTTGAGGCGCAGCGGAGGCCTTCAAGTCTTACGTGTAAGACGTTACAGCTGTAGCGAACGAGGGGCTGTACCGAAGATGGCGCCATACGAAATGAGCGTGAAAGGAGCTCGAGCAGGCGTTACGTGAGCACATTGCGTGACTGTGCTTGGCAAATGTGGCAATCCTACTAGTACGAAATGCTCGCATCACTCGCATCACTCGCCTCACTCAAATCACTCACATTTTTCCTATCCATCCACGGTGAGGCTGACGAATTGACGACGCGCGACCGCCGTCGCTCAGGCAATTCATGCGGCAATGCAGGTGATATCGTACCGTGTGCTCTCCCGCTCCCCCTCCCCACCATATTTTCCGCAAACGCTCTCTCCTCCCTCCGCCCTCCCTCGCATTATCCGTTCGTGCTTCCCCTGATCTTTCCTCAAATGTAGGTGCAGGCTAATGGAGGAGTATAGTGCGACTGGAAGACGCTGGTGAACAGCGCGGGCGGCTTGTGAGGCGCCTCTCCCTCAATATACCCCCCCTCCCGGCCGTTCACCTCCCTTCCCCTTCCCCCCCCCCCCCCCACTCTTCCCCACCCACTTCCGTTCCGTTACCCCCATGGTACGCGCAGGATCATGGAGTGGCGCGACAAGAAGACGCTGGTGAACAGTGCGGGCGAGGCGGTGTGCACGGCGGTGGAGAAGGCGTTCACGCTGCACAGCGGCACGCTCATGATGCGCGGCCGCGATACCAACACGGATAACTTCGTTGTGCGCACGCGCAAGGTCTCCCACTCGCACCCGCGCATGGAGGTGCGTAGAGCATGAGAAATGCGTGGGGGCGGAGGGGTGGAGGGTGGTTAGGAATGGCGGGGTGTGGTGACTATTGCGGCGCCTCAAGATGCGCAAGGCATGCAGGGCAGTGGAGGGTGGTGGGGGGCAATGGGGATGGTGATGTGTGATGAAGAGGGGTGCAGAGGAGTGTGCTGTGCTTTTGATGAAGCAGGGCGAAGGTGGCCAACTGAAGGGAGTTTGGCATGATGGGGTGGAGGTGACACACGCCATGCCTAGGCGGTATTAATCCAAAGGAAAGGACCATAGCATTGCTCACTGGTTATAGAGTGTGCACCACACTTCCTGGCCAGTGTGGTACATCTGGCACGAAACACCACATCAGTCCTCACCACACCACACCACACCACACCACACCACACCACTCATCGGGGTTCTGCACCTCCTGCTCCCGCTCCCCTCCCCCTGTTCCTCCTCTTCCCATCACTTCCCCGCCTTACGCGTCCTCCTCTCCCCCACTGCTTTTCCCCATGTGCGCATATTGGCAGATATACCTGAAGGAGAACAACACGAGCGTGCCGGACCTCGTGGCGTATGGCAACTTCAAGAAGCTTGACTTCAAGGTTGACTTACGAAGATTGACTGTCATGTCATCCACGTACCCAATTCTCCATTCTGCAACATTGCCACAGAAACACCTCTGCCCTTTTACCTCCCACCTCTCCTTTCCTAACCCTTTCCAAGCCCCTCTTCCCATATTCCGCCCTGAAAAATCCCAAGCTTGCATGCACTTGCCTTCACGCCCATCCACCTTCCATGCCCATTCTCCTCACCCTTCCCCCTCCCCTTTCCTCTTCTCCCCTTCTTCCTGCATCCACTCCCCACCCTACAGGTGTTCAACCCGAGGCGGGTTCCGGTGGCGGAGGTGAAAATGGACCCCTTCGGTCCGCGCTCGCACCACTCGCTGTTGCTGGATTTGAAGGCACACATCGACATGGCACTCATGGTCATGATCCTAGTCATGGTTACTGAAACCATGATTCCGCCGCCCTCGCCGCCCTCGCCCAACAACAATTAGACAAAATCAATATTGTCAATCAATTTGTGCATTGGCAGGCAGCTGCTCTAGCGATCCTGCGTTCCCAATTTGCACCCCATTGGGCCCTGTAGAGGATAGTAAGCACAACAAATGTTTGTTTGTTTTTTCTGTTGTTTCTTTGTAGAAAAATTGTAACACACTAAACAAAGATTTCATCCATAGTCCTAACAGGGAACACTGCGTAGTTATTGTATGACAGGTGAAAACCTGCAATATGAAGTGTAGGTAGTTTCGATCTAAAACGAACCAGCTGTAGTCTATTCAGTTCTATTCGCCCCACGCAGCAACCATCTACAGATTGTTCCCCAAGGCAGTTGGACGCTGTCGCTACGTTGGGCAGCAGTGCCCCTCTTCCTTCTGCTTGCTTGTGACATTTGCACCAATATGCATATGCCTTCACCCTTGCCCCCAAGCCAGCACAACCCCTCCGTAATATGCGTACCTGTGGTGCGCTTCTTGCGCGTGCGCACCCGCTGACTCACTTGCATTACCTGCTCATGCGGTCCCGCGTCATGCTGGCGCCTGCGAAGCATCTTACGGGCTGTGTGCCGCAGCACAGCCTTTCACTGCATTGAGTCTTCTTTCACCGCCGTTGTGTTCTTTAATCACCATTGCGTTCTTTCACCATTGCGTTCTTTCACCATTGCGTTCTTGCACCGTTCCGTTCTTGCACCGTAGTACAATCGCATTTCCAGCTAGCAGAGTCGTACCTCCTTCCCCTCACATAGCCTCTCTTTCCCCACCCCCTCAATTCAAATGGCGAAAAACCTGCCGTTCTTGCCGCCGGCGAAGGCGGCGGCGAGCGCGGAACCGGTGTGCGTGTTCGGCGAGGAGTATTGCCTGCCGTACGAGACCACGCTGCTCGTGCGCTCGCGCAAGTGGCAAATGGCCGACGAGTTTGAAGTCACTGACGTGGAGGGCCGCACGCACTTCAAAGTCGAGGACAAGTGATTGCCTCTCGCGAACGAGAGGCTGTAGCGAACGAGAGGCTGTCGCGAACGAGAGGCTGTCGCGAACGAGGGGCTGTCGCGAACGAGGGGCTGTCGCGAACGAGGGGCTGTCGCGAACGAGGGGCTGTCGCGAACGAGGGGCTGTCGCGAACGAAGAGCTGTCGCGAACGGCGTGTGTTTCTCCCCCTTCCCCCCTCCCCAAATCCTGCGCAATCTTTCTCTCGCCCCTTCGCCTTTCCCGAGCCATCCCTACACTACTCCCCTTCCTCCCCCCCGCTCGTGCAGGATAATGGAGTGGCGCGACAAGAGGACGCTGGTCAACAGCGCGGGCGAGGCGGTGTGCACAGCGGTGGAGGCGGCGTTTTCTCTGCACAGCAGCACGCACATGATGCTTGGCCGCGACACCAACTCGGACCACTTCGTTGTGCGCACGCGCAAGGTCTCCGCGACGCTCCCCAGGATGGAGGTGCGCAGAGGGGGGCCAACATGGTATATGCGCGGGGGTGGAGTGGTGGTGATGGGTAGCGTGGGGTGGTGTGGGGTGGTGCGGGGTGGGTGGGGGTAATGATGAGGGATGAAGAGTACTGTCCTGTGCTCCTGATGAAGAAGGGCAAAGAGGGGCTACGTACGGTGTTCGGGATGATTGGGGTGGAGAGGTCAAAGGCAGTTGGAGTGGAGGTGCCACCTGTCAGTGACAGAGGCCTGCTTCATCCAGGGGAGTATAGGGCCTGCTCACAAACTTAGAGTGCACTCACTTTCCGCCCTGTCCCTCCATGCGTGCGTGCGTCTTGGCAGATATACCTGAAGCAGAACGTCACAAGCGTGCCGGACCTCGTGGCGTATGGCAACTTCAAGAAGCTTGAATTCAAGGTGCATGTGCTACACTTACTCTTAACTCCACTGTGGGACTCTGCCACAGAAACACCTCCTCCCCTCCCACCCACCCCTTCCCCAAATCCCCCCACACCCCTCCATATTCCGTTCTGTCGCACTGCAATTTCAAGCCCGCATGCACTTGCCTTCATGCATGTCCTCTTTCTGTGCCCATTCTCCTGATCCTTTCCCGCCTTCCCCCTTCTTCCCTCCCTATCTCCCCGAACTTTTCCTGCATCCACTCGCCACCCTACAGGTGTTTAACACGAAGCGGGTGGCGGTGGCTGAGGTGAGGATGGACCCCTTTGGCCCGCTCTCACACCACTCGCTGTTGCTGGATGTGAAGGCACACATCGATATGGCACTCATGGTCATGATCCTCGTCATGGTCACTGAAACCATGATTCCACCTCCCTCGCCGCCAGAGCCCAACAATAACTAGCCACAGAGTTGGGTTCGGCATGGCTATGCGTCTCTCCCGGTGTGGAGCTTTTCAAAACCATGGGAAGAAGAATAGCACAATAAAGTTTTAGCATGTTTGAAGCAATTTTCTAATAGTTCCGTTGCTATCATGTCCTAATGTGAGGGCTGGGTGGGTGGCCCTCCTAGTGTTCTATGGTTGTATTTGTGTCAAGGCAAATTTGTACAGTGACCTTTTTCCAGATGATGCTATTCAGACACTAACGAACCCTTCTCGAACGTGTAACGGTCCAACCAAACCCAAAGCTCTCTGCCCAGATGTTTTCCCGCCAAGCCAAGCCCAAGGGGCCGCCAAACCAGACCCGAGGGTGACCAACCAGCCGAAACTGACCCCTCCAACAACCTCTTCTCTCCCCTCGCTACAGTAACAGAAGCTCGATAGAATCCCGCAGTATCGTTTCGTCGGCAACACCCATACGTTTCCCCCCTTGGTTTTGGTTTCGGAATAACTACCACCACCTTTTCGCTGACACATGCTCACACCCCACCCTATTGCCTCGCAGTTAGATCACAGGTGAGGACCTGGCCTCTCGTTTTCTCCTGCGCGTTTGTTGTTAGCGCTCATGGCGTGCACATGGAATACACTAGCTGAATGATGAATTGTAATTCGCTGCTGCTTGACAGGACAGGTGTGAAGCCCTATTACTAGCTAATGTCGTGGTTCTCCTGAAGCTCCAACGCTGCAATTCTCCGCTTGTCCACTTCGTGCTTCCGAAGTCTGGGCGAGAGTCAAAACAGATCCCACCCGCAAATCCTGTTACTTCCACCGAGTCTGTTGCCCCGCTATGGCATCAGCAGCGGCGGCTGCGCGCCTGCGGGATCTGCAATCGCAGCCGGGGAACAAGATTTGTGTGGATTGCAGCCAGAAGAACCCGCAATGGGCCTCCGTCAGCTACGGCATCTTCATGTGCCTCGAGTGTTCGGGCCGGCATCGCGGCCTCGGCGTGCACATCAGCTTCGTGCGATCCGTCACCATGGATTCCTGGTCCGAGATCCAGCTCAAGAAGATGGAATCCGGCGGCAATCTCGCGCTGAACGAATTCCTGTCTCGGTACGGCGTGCCTAAGGAAACCGACATCGCAGTTAAGTACAACACCCCCGCCGCGGAAGCCTACCGATCGAAGATTCAAGCCATGGCGGAAGGCCGATCTTGGACCGCTCCGAACATTGAAAGAGTTAATTTGACCAAGGCTGGCACAGGTGGGGGGAGCCGGCCGACCGCTAAAGCAAGCCCAGGTGGATTCGGCTCCAGTGACGGGTGGGATGACTGGGGCGACGGCAGCTCAGGCAGTCAAGCGGGCATGCGCCGGCACCAGTCCGAAACCAGTATTTCAGCTGGACACGGCGGGAGCGGCCGACGGAGCAATCTGGTAGCTGGCGGCGGCGGCGGCGGCGGTGGCCATGGAATGGGTCATCATTCCGGGTCCACCAATGAGATTTACACGCGGGAGCAGCTGGAGGCGTCGGCGGCGGGGAAGGAGTCGTTCTTCGCGCGGAAGCAGGCGGAGAACGCCTCGAGGCCGGAGGGCGTTCCGCCGAGCCAGGGAGGCAAGTACGTGGGATTCGGCAGTGCTCCCGTCAACCGGCCCGCTAATCGAGGCGGCGAGGACGTTATTGAAGATACCGTCAAGATCGTCTCCGAGGTAACAAAGTCGAATCTGTGTCCGCGAGAGTGTGCGAGTCCACCTTTGTCTCATCTCGGCCTTCCTGCCCACGGCGTTGAATTCGTTCCGTCGCTTTCCGCTTGCGCATTTCCCACTCCATCCTCGGTCGTTTCGAAGTGCCACCTTCTCACCTTAATTGACGTGCGTTACTGCACAACCTTCCATTCGTTCTGTTTTCTCTGTCTGGTGCCCCACGGTGGCTGATCGCCATGCGTGTTCGCCCTTGAAATCCAGAGCTTCCGTTCTCTCTCGATGGCGGCTGTGGGGGTCGCAAGCTCAGCCGCGGCGGTGGTCCAGGAAGGAGCCAAGGACATCACCGCAGGAGTAAGAGTCTTGTTCCAAACGTAGAATTATGTGAGGCCGTGTCATGTCGGTGCGGAAGCAGTCTCTTTTGCAGCTCGAAGAGCAACAATAAAACGGCAACCATTTGTTCTCAGCGGGGCAATACACTTTATTGGAAAGTCACTTGTATGTTGCGTTAGCTCCTTTCAGTGTAACAGCGTGTGCAGATGAATCAGGTCGGCCTTGCACCCTGCGTTTTACCCTAATTCGTCAACATATCAGGTCACGGAAGGTGGCTTGGACAAGAAGGCCATTGAGACCGCCTCCGTGGTGGCAGGGCGTGCAACTGAGCTGGGGAAGTCAGCGTGGGGCTTCATGCGCGGCTTTGCAGAGCGGGCTGTGCAAACCGTGGATGGTTACTCGGGCGGTGCTGTGGGGAACGCGCTGGAGGTGGCAGCTGCAGCCAGCGCAAACGCTGGGAGCATGATAGTCCAGGGGCTTACTGGTGCGGCTGTGAGCGAAGGTGGTGCTGGGGGTGCTGGCGGCGCTGTGGGAGGGAGCCGGGGAGGAGGTGGCTTTGACGACTGGGATGATTGGGGGGATGATAACAAGGGGCAGTCGGGTCAGGCTGGCAGTGGCAGGTATAATGGGAGTGATGGGGATGGATTCGGGCAGGGAAGGAGCAGTAGCACCAAGGATGACAAGCCATTCACTGGCTGGGATGATGAGTGGGATGGGGTGAGCCCTAAAGCTGACAGGGGGCATGGAAGCATGGCTAGCAACAGCAGCAGCAATGGAGGGAGCCGTGCGTCTGCAGGAGCTGGTGCACAAAAGAAGCAGGCAGCTGCAGCAGCAGTAATGGAAACTGAGTCGGACTCGTGGGGTGGATGGGATGATGTGCCGTCGCCTGCTCCTGCTAGCACTGCCACTGCTGGTGCGGAAAAGAAAGGGGGTGCAGCTAAGAAAAAGGATGACTGGGATGATTGGGGAGGGTTTTAAGGTTCCAGTCCAAGCACTCTGCCGTGGAAGTGAGATGGGTGAGTGGTGGTCTAGGTGCGAGTGAAGCTAGCCAGAACGATATAGAGGAGTGAGAGGTGGTGATCCAGCGTTCTTGCTGGTGGAAGATGCTGAAGCAGAGGACGGGTGGAGTGGAGCTGTCGGGCTTTGAACAGTGCAGAGAAACAGTGCTGCTGGGAAGTGAGGTTTTGGAGGCACCCACAATGGGAGCTACAGTGGTGTTGTGACACTGACAGCCCAAGTGGAGTTGGGAGGATGGTAATGGCACATGGGAAGTGGAGAGGGTGATACTTTTGGGTCCTATTTAGTTTGAAGTTGAGAATCAATCCAGTCAGGTCTACTTAGCAGCTGTCAGTGCTACCGTTTTCCTAATGAGCTCTCGCCAAGGCCAACATAGTTTTTATTATGCTCTTCAATATATTGGTGGTTTAATTCACTCGGGTTAGTATTTCATAGTTCTGACAGCTACAACAGCCAGTTCCCTGTGGCTGTTATTTCTTCAGTTCTATGTGGGTGAAAGGTGGCAGTCATCAAGGAAATATGGCTTCCCTAAGCTATTTGAATATGAGGCGACCTACTAGCGGGTATTTTTCTTTCCCGCCTCTCGGTAGTTGCGTCAGTTCCAAGCTTCCAGTGTCGAGAAATCTACGGTCTCAATTTCTCACACGTCAGCAAGACTCACCATTTCAACACAATCTGGAACCGAATTGGCGAATCGGTTGACAGGAACCACGGAAAGAGGCAGAAACGAGGAGCTGCGTACCGAAGTTTCCCTCGCAAACTTGGGTTGGGATGGGACGTTCAGGAAATAAACACAGCCGAGTGCACTTCTGATGCTCTGCCTTCCGAATGACGACTGAGACTTCGAGGCTTTGTGGTGTTTCCCCAGCGGAGTTTAGTCGATGAGATGGTGGTTCGCGAAGGAGCTTAGTGGTATCAGTCGCTAACGGAAACCTCATTATACGCAAATCGCAAGCGATTTTGTGTCAGGTTAGACGAAGCGACAGGCTGACACTAACGAATATGCATGAATCGCGAAGGACGGCGATGCGAAATTGTTGAATAAAAAGAAAAGCGAGCATCTGTCACAGCATTGCTAGTTATTCGCTGTAAACGGCGAATGTAGCATAATTCGGGTAAGAGAACCCACGTGACGTTCTAGAAGCTCCAGTGACGTCAGCCGAAGCTGCTGCTGATCGGATCAGGAGGCCCTGAGTTTGAAAGCGACAATTTCCGGGGGGAAGGGGGAAATGCATAGGGGAGAGGGAGAAGAAAGAGAGGCGGAGGAGAACTTTTAAGACGAGAAAAGGGGAGGGAAGAGGGAGTGGTAGGAAAATTGGCGTTTATTGTGCAGCTGTGCCTGCTCTTTTTGCCTCGCCCGTGCACAACGACTGTCCAGTCTCGTTCGCCATGACTTTGGATCGATCTCCGTTACAACTGGCCACGGGTGTAGCGGATCACAGTCCTTTTCGTGCTTGTAACGGGTATGCGCGGGTACAGGCGGGTGGTGGTGGGGATGGAGTGGTTCGTCGCAGCAAGGGGATAGAGCAGGAGGAGGAGCAGGAGGGGGAGTGGGAGGAGGAGGAGGAGGAGCAGGAAGAGCGGGAGGAAGATGGGGAGGAGGATGAGGAAGGCGAGGAAGGGGAGGATGCTCTGGAGGTGTGTTCGCAGATGGACGATGCATGGTACGCTGCACGGCTTTGGGTTCTGCCTGCGGGGAAAAGAAGAAACGGAGCGGCGTTAGGAACAGGCGGGGATGGAAGGAAAGCGCAGGGCGGTGAAGATGAGGATGGCAGTGATAATGATGATCATCCAGACAGAGCTAGCCATGGCAATCACCATTCCAATCATCATAGCCATTCCCAGCGGCTGTTGGTGGAGTTTAAGGGGTTCAGTGGGGACGAGGAGGTGTTGACAGGCGAGCAGCAGGTGCGGGAGAGAGTGCGGTTTGTGTCGCACCAGCTGCAGGACGCGCGGTGCTGGGCGGTGAAGCGCGGTGACAAGGTGTGCGCGTACCGCGTTAGTGACGAGCAGTGCACGTACTACGATGCCCGAGTTCTGCAGGTGGGGGCTCCCTTTGCACTCTTTCTCCTCCTCCTCCTCCTCCTCCTCCTCCTCCTCCTCCTCCTCCTCCTCCTCCTCCTCCTCCTCCTCCTCCTCCTCCTCCTCCTCCTCCTCCTCCTCCTCCTCCTCCTCCTCCTCCTCCTCCTCCTCCTCCCCCCATTGATTTACCTCTTCGTCCGTGCCTCTTAATTCTCAAGTGCATTGCCAGCCTCTCCATTTCACCAGCTTTCCATTGTGTCGTCACCTCACACCAGCACCACCCATCGTTCCCTCCCTCCCTCCCATCGTTCCCTCCCTCCCTCCCATCGTTCCCTCCCTCCCTCCCTCCCCTCCCCCCTCCCTCCCTCCCTCCCTCCCTCCCTCCCTCCCTCCCTCCCTCCCTCCCTCCCTCCCTCCCTCCCTCCCTCCCTCCCTCCCTCCCTCCCTCCCTCCCTCCCTCCTTCAACGCAGGTGATTCACCAGGAGCACACACGGGCGCACGGCAAGGAGGAGTGCACGTGCCGCTTCTCCCTGCGCTGGCTCGCAGGCCCCGCCAAGGGCCAAGTAATGGAAGCAGGGTGCGCGCACATATGCACTCTTGATCCCCGCGATGTCACCACCTGCCACCCCCTCATTGCCTGGTACATTCACTCCCTTCACTCCCAAGACCTCATGCCTCCTCCTGAGGGGTACTTTTTTACAAAGACAAGGCAGGCCTTTTTAGCTTCCACGTCATCTGGTGCTGCTGGAGGGCCTGGGGGGACGAGAGCTTTTGCTGGGACTGCTGGGGGTGCTGGGGTGAGAGTGAGTGGTGGTGGTGCTGCTGTTCGCGGTGCTGGTGACGTGCGTGCGGAGGGGAGTGGTGTGAAGGTTACTGGCAAGGGAGGCTCTTTCAAGGGTGCTGCAAGTGCTGCTGCTAGGGATGGTCTGTCCACTGCCCCGCTTCTTGCACTGAGAGCACCCGAGTCTGAGCAGGGGAAGAGATTGCGGAAGCGCAAATGGGGTGGCGCTGCTGTTGATGCTGAAGGCGAGGATGAGCACGGGAAAGACTCAGTCAAGGAGAAGAAGAAGGAGAAGAAGAGGAAGCTGCATCGGGGAGATGGGAATGTGGTAGGGGCCGGGCACCATGCTGGTAGACATGCCATGGTGGTGTATCGAGATAGGCCACACGGAGGGGCAAGAGATCACAGAGAGGTAAAAGATTCCAGAGAGGGAAGGGACGACAGAGACGAAAGAGATGAAGGTGATGAAAGTGTGGAAAGACCGGAAGCAGAGAATGCAGGGCTGCTTTCAGCTCTGCCAACGCCGTTCCCTCTCATCCCTCTAGACCACGTTGCTGCGGCATCACCACTCACTCCAGTTGATCCTGCTCTCACACGCATCCTCGCACTCCCTGCCATCCGCCCTGCCCCGCTCTCCCCAAAGCATGACACCCCAAAGCATGACACCCCAAAGCATGACACCCCAAAGCATGACACCCCAAAGCATGACACCCCAAAGCATGACACCCCAAAGCATGACACCCCAAAGCATGACACCCCAAAGCATGACACCCCAAAGCATGACACCCCAAAGCATGACACCCCAAAGCATGACACCCCAAAGCATGACACCCCAAAGCATGACACCCCAAAGCATGACACCCCAAAGCATGACACCCCAAAGCATGACACCCCAAAGCATGACACCCCAAAGCATGACACCCCAAAGCATGACACCCCAAAGCATGACACCCCAAAACATGACTCCCCAAAACATGACTCCCCAAAACATCACTCTTCAAAGCCTCTCTCGCCTCAACTTCGTGTGAGAAGGCATGAGCGGTTTCCTGGAGAGGAGAGTCGCCCCGGCTTGCAGGTAGAACGAACGGGGGTGTGGGAGGGCTGGAGAGACGGGGAGGAGGATAGGCGTCGGGGTGACGGGCAGGAGGAGGAGAGGAGGGAGAAGAGGGGGTTGGGAGGCGCTGGGATGAGGCAACGTGAGGTTAGGGTTTCTCCTGTAGCTGTTCACACTGCCGCTGCTGATGTTGCTGTTGATGGTGGTAGTGGTGGTGCTATTGATGGTGCTAGTGGTGGTGGTGCTGCTGCTGCTGCTGCTGCTGCTGCTGCTGGTGGTGGGGCCAGAGCAGCATGGCCGGATGGGCATGGTGGTAGGTACGACAAGCACTCCCGACATGCGATTCGAAGCCCGGAGGGTAACCTGGAACATTGGGGGGGATATGGCACAGCACGGTACTGGTCGAGAAACCCTTACACTGCGTCCCCCACACCTCCCCACACAGCGTCCCCCACTCCTCCCCACACTGCGTCCCCCACTCCCCCACACACTGCGTCCCCCACTCCTCCCCACACTGCGTCCCCCACTCCTCCCCACACTGCCTCCCCCACTCCTCCCCACACTGCGTCCCCCACTCCTCCCCACACTGCTTCCCCCACTCCTCCCCACACTGCTTCCCCCACTCCTCCCTACACCGCGTCCCCCACTCCTCCCCACACTGCGTTCCCAACTGCGCCTGAGAGTGAGCACCATAGTAACTGGTATGTGCGAGGGGGTGAAAGGACACGGAGTGGAGATAGGGCAGGGGGGGAGCGGGATCATGCAGTCGAGTCTAGGAGGGGCTTGGGCAGGGATGGGTATGTTGATGCACATGGGAGGCAGGGTGACGGTGACGAGATGGACATGCGGCATGGGTACCATGAAAAGGTTCAGGATAAGCGGAGAGAGGTGGGGATGGGGAGGGACGAGGGATTGGACGGGGAATGGGGAAGGGTGGTGAGAAGAGGGGATGATGTGGATGGGAGGAGGAGGTTGCGAGAGAGGGAGAGGCATGTGAGGGGTGTTGGTGTGGAAGGGGAGGGGGAACATGGGCGAGAGAGAGAGGCGGAAGAAGGTAGAAGCAGGGATAGGGATATGGATAGACACATGCATAGGGACAGGGTGGGTGGCAAGGAGAGAGAAAAATACAAGGAGAGGGGGGAGGCATTGCATGGGGAGAGGGAGGAGAGGGAAAAAAAGCGGGAGATGGAGAGAGAAGGGGAGAGGGTCAGGGATAGGGTTAGGGATAGGGATAGGGATAGGGATAGACATAGGGATAGGGAGAGGGAGAGGGAGCGGGAAGGGAAGAGGTTTAAGGAGAGGGAGAGGGAGGGGGAGAGGGAAAGGAACAGAGAAAGGGATAAGGTGGTACTAGCAGTGCAGGATAGACATTGTGTAGGTTGGGAAGCGGAGAGAGGAGGCGAGGCAAGGGGCGGAAGCAACAGACACGTGTCACACGAGCAGGAGCATCTGGTAGAGAGAGGCTTTGGAGTGGAAGAGCGATATGGATATGAAAGGGAGAGGGCTCACACGAGGGCAGGGAGAGGGATGGAGGGGTCGCATGAGGGAGAGTGGGGCAGCAGCCGCAGTGTAAGCAGGGATAGGGGGCACCTACTGGAGGGGCAGGGAAAGGGATTGGTGAGTCCTGGAGGGGTGGAGGATGGTGAGATGGAGAGGCGGAGTTGGAGCAGGGAATGGGAGGGTGAGGGCAGGGAAAGGCGGGGTGGGGGGAGGGAACGAGAAGGGGGGGGCAGGGAACGAGAAGGTGGGGGCAGGGAAAGGGAGCGAGGAGGCAGGGAATGGGAGAGAAGAGGCAGAGAGTGGGCGAGAGAAGGCAGAGAAGGAGATAGAAGGGGCAGGGAGTGGGGGAGAGGGGGAAGGGAAGGGGAGAGAAGGGGTAAGGAGTGGGAGGGAGAGGACAGGGAAGGGGAGAGGAGGGGCGGGGAGCGGGGACGAGGGGACCGGGGAAGGGACGAGGAAGGAGAAGAAGGAAGGCATGATGAGTGGGAGAGGGGCAGAAGCTTCAGCAGAGAGAAAGCAGCTGAGGACAGGGACAGGAGAGGGGATAGTGATGATGGGGCTTTAAGAGGGGCCGGCGTGGTGGGCCATAGCTTGGCAGGGGAGTTGCATGAGAGGGGGGAAAGGCGACGAGGGGAGGGAGACGGGGGTAGAGAGGGAGGAGGAGGGCGAGGAGGAGGTTCAGGGGGTGGAGAGAGGGGAGGAAGCAGAGGGGAGGCAGGGCGAGGAGGGGGTGAGGGCAGTGGGTATGGGACGCATGGGAATGGAATCAGAGGAAGAGGAGGAGGAGGAGGTGGTGGTGGTGGTGATGGTGATGGTGGGGATGGGGATGGGGAGGATGATAGGCAGTGGAGGCGGGAGAGGGAGCACACACTCCCTGTTGCTACGACCCGTGCTGCTGGAACACCACCCGCTGCTGATACTGCTGCGGCTGAGAGCAGCGCTGATGGTGCTGCTGCCGCTGCCACTGGTGCAGACATCACCACAGGCGGTGCTGGTGGTGGTGCTGGCGGCGGTGCTGGCGGTGGTGCTGGTGGTGAAGGTTCAAGGTCAAAAGAGGCTCAACTCGCGTCTGCTGCTCCTGCCTTCACCTCTCATGCACCTTCCTCCATCTGGGACGGCCGGCAGCCGCGAGGCAGAAGCGCGGTTGTCAGAGGGGGCCGTGCAGTGGCGGTCCGGGGAGGGGTTCCTGAGACTCCCCAACGGTCTCTCCCAAGAGTCGTTAGAGGCGGTGGCAGTGGCAGTGGTAGTGGTGGTGGCAGCAGCAGTGCGGTTGTTAGAGGTGGGCGGGCAGTGGCGGTCCGGGGCAGGCCTGTCGCTGTGAGAGGAGGGCGAACTGGAGGTTCGGGAGGTGGTTCGGCAGGTGCTGTAGGGTTGCCAGCAAGTTCGTTGCCGGTAGAATCCTCACCGACAGGTTCGGTACAGGCAGTGCCACAGCCTTTATTAGCTGCAGATTCACCAGCGGTGGTAGCAGGCAGAGTAGCAGAAGGGCCCTCAGCACCAAGAGCAGCAGCAGTGCCAGGAGCAGCTAGAGCAGCAGCAGGCAATGCAGGAGTGGTGATGCCAGCGCCAAAGGTTCCAGGGTCTGGCGAGGACGGTGTGGAAGAAGCAGAAGCAGCAGCAGGAGGAGGAGGAGTGCCAGTAGGAGCAGTAGAAACATCAGTAGCAGCGCCGCCAGCAACACCAGCAGCGCCAGCAGCAGCAGCAGCAGCAGCAGCAGCAGCAGCAGCAGCAGCAGCAGCAGCAGCAGCAGCAGCAGCAGCAGCAGCAGCAGCAGCAGCAGCATGTGGTACAGGTGGAGCAGCAGGGGTGAGAGCGGCTGGAGCATTCAGAAGGCCAGCGGCAGTGAGGGGCGGTAGAGGTGGGAGGGCCGGCATGCCTGCTGCTTTTAGAGCTGCTCCTAGGATGGCCAAGGCTGGTAGAGAGGAGGGGGTGGATGCTGGTGGCACTGCCGATGCCTCTGCTAGCTTTCCTCCTGCTGCTGCTGCTCCTGCTGCTGCTGCTGATGCTCCTGCTACGGCTGCAGCAACAAGTGCTGCGATTAACGCAGAGGAAGGGGTGTCGCGTGCCGAGGCAGAGGAACGGGGAATGCGGTGGGTTGGTGGGAGGCGAGAGACGGAGGATGCATTGAGAGTCAATGCCGAAGATGTGCGTAGAAGGAATGGGGAGAATGTGAGGAGCTTGCATGGTGAAGAGACGGAGCAACACGAGGAAGGGGAGGTGAAAGAGGAGGAGGAGGATGAGGAGGATGAGGAAGAAGAGGGAAGTGGGGAAGAGAGGGGAGGGCTACAGGAGGCAGTGGAGATGGGGGACGGTGAAGAGCAGGAACGCGAGGAGGGCGAACATGAGAAGCAAGGGGTGGGAGGTCGAGGTATGGATGGAGATTTCGAGGAGGGAGAGGAAAGGGATGGAGGTGGGAAACTGGCAAGACATGGGAATGGTGATGCTGCTGGTGCTGATGCGCATGATGCTGCTGGTGATGATGCTCATGATGATGCCGATGATGGGGCTGATGCTCATGATCACGCTATGGTTGTGGACACTCCACTCGCTGTTCCGCCCTCACCTCCTCCTGTTGCTGCTGCTCTCCTTCCTCAGAGCACACCTCCCCTGGCTCCTCCTGCTCTTCTTCCTGCTGCAGCTGCTGCTGCACCTGTGAGCCAGGCCGTGGCACCCACCATGCCCAGCGCAAGTACCACAGGTGGGGCGACGGATGCTGGTGCCACGGCAGTGGTGGTTATTGAGAACCTAGAGGACGATACCACTGCTCAAGACGTGCGAGACGTGGTGCAGGTAATTCCACTCCACTTCACTGCATGCGTGCACGTGTTTGCTTGCACGGCCCTTAGTTTCTTTGTGCATGAGCTCCACGTCTCTTTGCTTCTCTTGTCCTTTTGTTTCTTCCTCTCGTTCTTTCTTTACATAGTTCACAAGATCGACCCCTTTTTTCTTTATATGGTTCACTGGTCAACCCCCCTCCTTCCATCCAACACTACCGCACCGTGTGCAGGCGCTCACAGTGTTTCCAGTGCTGGGAGCGGCGTTCTTCCCCCGGCACCCACTCCGCGACCCCCCTGGAGCCGCATGGGCGGCTCTGCTCTTCCGCTCGCGCGACGAGGCGGCCAGTGTGGAGCGCTTCCTCTCGCACGACGCCGCTGTCATGCCCTTTGCCACGCGCAGGTGAGCAGTGAGAACGTATTGCAGGCACCTTGGAAAAAGAGGCTGTGTGGTTTGTGCGCCTCAACACCTGACGCTGTTGCTAGTGTGCACGTCAAAATCAGACTGCTGCTGCAAGTTTGGAGTGCTTCCTGTTGCACGGCGACGCTGCTGTCATGCCCTCTGCCGCGCGCAGGTGAGCAGTGAGAACGCATGTGAGTCACCTCAGGATCAACAGAGGAAGTTTGTTGTTTGCGCGCTGCAAAAACAGGCCTCCGGCAGCGTGGATGGATTGCTTCCTCTTGCACAGCACCGCTGTCATGCCCTCCACGCACAAAGTTCCCATCGCTGTGCTGGTTTGTTGCAAGGCATGCGTCCGTCCATCCATGATCCACCCCCCATCCGCTGCTTACAATACTTTTCCGCAGGGCCTGGAGAGCACGGCCGTTGTGAGGGCAAGCAGCTGCAGATGACTTCTGAGTCGACTCAAAAGTCCACTCCACCCCCTTGTGCTGCTTGCTTGCTTTCTTCTCTGCAGGCCCTGGAGAGCGTGGCTGTTGCAAGGGCAACCGGCTGCTGACCTCAAGCGATACCTCGTGCCATCGCAGCCACCATCACAGCACCAGCAGCAAGCGCATGCTGAGCGCATAAGTTCCCGTTCCGAGACAGCTGCTTCTTCCGCTGCTACACCTATGGTATCAACCCCTCACTCTTCCACACCAACCAACACCGCACCTGCACGACACTCTTCATATCTCGCCCCACCCTGTGTTTCCCTTTTTCCGTGGTCCTGGGTTCATTCCGGGCTGGGCCACCATATATGTCAATGGTTATGTGTTCGCTGCTCCTCTTTGTCTCTGCATCCATCTCGACCATCTTCCCCCTTGGTTTGGGTGCCTCCTCTCATGCTTCCTTTCTCCCACTTCGTCTTCACCTGCCCCCACCCATATCCCCAACCCACACAACTGTCCCAGGAGGCCTGCTCTGTATCGTTCCGTGACTGGGCTGCTGCTGAGCCCGGGACATCAAGCGTATCCGTGTCAACCCCGCCACCACCACCACCAACACCAACACCAACATCAACACCACACCCCCCAACAGCACCTGGAAACACACAACCACTTCCGTCTCAAGGCACCAGAGAAACCACCACACCGATGCCACCACATTCAGCTGTCGCTCCCCATTTCTCACGATCCAATTCCCTGCCCCGTCCCTCATCGTCCCGACCGTCCTCGCCTCGACCATCCCGTTCTCGACCCTCCTCTCCTCGACCGAGCGGGAGAAGCGCGGTGCCGCCTCACCTGTCGCTCGTGCCGTGGCAGTCGGAGGCAGCAGAGCTGCAGCGGCGGTGGAGGCGCATGAAGATGCGGCACGATGTGGAGATGGTTGACTTGGCGCAAAAGCATTCGCTGCAGGAGCACCAGCTGCGTCTGGCTTTTCTGTGACCCCCTCCCTGAGTCGCCTTTTGAGAATTCTCGATAGCAACTCCGCGGAGAGGAGATGGCTGACGTGGCGCACAAGCATTCGCTGCAGGAGCACCAGCTGCGCCTGGCTTTCCTGTGAGAGACGATTTTAGAGGCGCCTCAAATAGAACAGATATGGTGTGCAAGCATGCACTCCAGGAGCACCGGCTGCGTTTGGTCTGTCCTTTCTATGATCCCTGGGCTACTCGAGAGTAGGGTACTTTTCAAGAGTACCGTAATCAAGGTACAGCAGCGGTAGCAGCTGCCCCTGAGATTCTTATCACCTCGCTGATTAAATTGAAACAAATGGTCATTCCCTCGGGTTTCTCCTCCCTCCCCAAGCCTAACGATCAGGTTTGGGTAGTCCAGGCACACACCCGGTGGAACAAATACTTGGGCTCTTCCAATCCCAAAGCCAGGGGAGGGGAGGCTCGTGGTAGGGGTAGAGCGACGCTGCAGGTGGCTACATGCACTGCACACCGATACCGTACATTAGGCACAAAGTTGCCAGCAGCAGTAAGGGGACACACCCGTATGGTCATGGGGGATGTTGATGTGAAAGTGTGTTGGTCATTGCTACGGGACAGAGGCCACTCAGGCAAAAATTTGTGGTCTGAGTGCTCAGTGCTTGCTATGCATGTAGGGTAGGCCATCACATTCACAATAGAGGTCATGAAAGACTGCACGGCCTCAGTCACTTCAGTTACCACATGATAAGCTGCACATTTTTTCAATCAAAATGGGAAACAGCACGTGCCTAACAGTGGAGAACATGCATTTGAAGGCTGCCACTGTTTGTGGACGTTCCAGACACCCTCAGTTTCCTTTTTGGTGAACTAGGCAAAAGCAGACACAAAGTTGCACACTAGAACGTTTGGTGACTGGAATGAACAATAATGAGTGTTGTAACAATATAGTAATACGCGGAGTAGCGTGACTCAGTAAGGAATCATCGTTTCCTTTTCAGTCACATTGGCGTGTGGTGAAGTAGGCCAAAGCAGGCAAATAAGAACTTCTCCATAGCGTTTGAAGACTGGAATGAGCACAGGGTGTAGTGATATGAAATCTAAGAATCGCAACGCCGTAAGCAATTTGTTCGTGCGGAGGTGGTTGTTTTCGGTGGCTACCTGCCGGCCACGACAAATAGATGACGTGGGTGGCATTGGTACTGTAGTGGGGCAAATTTTGGTTTTCATGTATCGGCCTACCCTTCAAGTCCGGCTACTTCGTTTACCCAGCCTGCCAAAATGAGTTGCGACAGTTTTGACTCCGATATCTTTTAGCTTGTACTAGTCCCCCATAGTGCACTCTCAGCTTGAATCATTTTATGGACCATGCTGTCCCCCATAGTGCACTCTCGGAATCTGTGAAAATCGCGGGGTTACACTAGATTCCCATACATGTAATCGTTCCGGCAGTTCGAGAATGGTTGAATTCAGACGCTTAGATACACCCTGTTTCGCGCTACACTGGCAACGGGATTCACTGGCTACAGTGCGTACTGTTGCTTGGAAGCTAGCAATCTGGTGCTTACAGCCCACTTTATTTACAATATCATATTTGTACAGAGAATACAAATGGTGTCGAGCATAAGAAGCTAACCAGCATTGCCTGCTATCCTAGGACAGAGACCCCGACGAGGTCTCAAGAACCAACACCGAGGTACGCAAAATCAGCCAGGGAAGGTGGAGTGGGTTCCAGTGGCGCGGAAGGCGTGTCAGTGCTGTTGTGGTGCTTACAGCCGTTAGCGCAGATAGGTGCGGGCAAATGCACTCTTGGTGAACGGTACACAACGGTTTTCAGAAGAAAACTTGCTTTTGTGTACGGTTGAGTGCGGGCAAACGTGCATATATCGTATGTGCATGGACCATCCTGGACGCATTGATGTGTGTACATCCGATTAGTGGTATAGCCAATGACAGTGTAGCGCGAAACAGGGTGTAGACAATAATTATGGAAATTGTCAGGGAAAAGGAGAGCCCCAAAACTGTCCTTGGTGTTCGAGTGGCTAACCCATGAAAGCGACATGGTAGAGTATGGCTAGCCACTCGAACAGGGCCAACGAGAATTAGCCTTCCTTGCAACACCGAGAGTATGGTTAATTCACCGTACCTTACGCCCGAAACCCGTCCACGTTCGACAGCAGCAGCAAGTGATTTTTACGGGCGATGGCGCAATCGCCACTACAGTATCCCACGCGCAAGTACTGTTCGTTCTGTTCGTTCTGTTCATCTCATCTCGTCGAGATTTTATACGATTGAGAAGTGTTTCTTGAAGAGACGAAGCAAGTGAAAAGAGAATCAGGTGTACGCACAGCAAGCCTCTCCCACCATCATCACGTGGCAGCAAGCAAGCAGTTCATCCACTAGCATTCGGCCTAACTGTTGGAGGCTGCCTCCTCGGGCAAAGCTACTACAGTACAGTATTAGTAAGGCCTACGCAACCTGAAGTGCGTTTGCACAAACGAGGTTTCGTGCGATGAGCAGGCCTTGCTTGCGTGCCCCAAAAGAGTTCGCCAGTCAGAGCGTTTCAGTGCGATCCTTTCTGGTCGAGTCTGGTCTAATTTATTGTGTTTCAAAAATATCTGGGTGATGGTGCCGAGGCGGCCTGCTACCTGACCCGGCACTGGCAGCAAACCTCCCTATGGAGAAGCCTCCTGAGCGTGCCTGGCAGACAGCCGCACAGCACCTCCTCTAGCACCTGGAGTCTTTGCTCAGGCCTACTAGCAGCAGTAGTATTTGGCGTCAGCGTATGTGGCTCGCAACGAGATCTCGTGGCGTCGCAAACGAAGAACTAGCCGCAGCACAGGTGAGGTATACTCCCGCGAGTAGTAGTAGTCTATATTTGAAGCAGCTCACCCCTGGCGTTCGTCGTGTACTACAAGTCCTAAACTGGGGGGAAGGATTCTTTTATAAATATAGTATATGTATATTTTGAACCCAGAAAACACGGTTTTTGTTACGCCACGCCGACGCCGTCGACGGCCCGTCGGTGAGGAGTCTTCCGACGCAGTTCGTCAGGCCCTCGAGGGGCCACCCCAGTCCTCCTTATGGCTTATCTCGCATTATCTGTGCGATTTCTGAGTCGTCTCAAAAATATTGTCATCATCCGTGGCTCATCTGCATCAGCATCATCATCTGTGCGATTTTTGAGTCATCTGTGCGTCGTCCGCCCATCCCTCGCCGTCTTTGCAGGACTCCCTTTAGTAGACGCGCGCAACCATGCTGATGGCGGCAACAGCAGCAGCGGCATTATCACGGCACTTCACATCATCAGCACACCATGCGCTTTTGCTGCGTGCTCTCTTCATCCTCTCTCTTCTCCTGGCGCCTCCCGGACCATCATGGCTCTTCCCTCCCTCTCCCGCGGAAACGCTCCCGCGCTACTCGCTCACAGCCACCGCCGACTTCCCCCTCCCCTATTTCCTCAGCAATAGCCCCCAGTGTAAGCGACCGAGCGAATTGGGTGGCAATCGTGTTCCGTGTTCCGTGTTCCGTCCGTGTGAGGCACGTGACATGTTCGGAGGCATGGCTGAGAAGCCATACAGGCACGGCACGGCACAGCACAGCACAGCACAGCACAGCACAGCACAGCACAGCACACACGACATTCCCGCGTGGCTCTGTCTGTGTGCGAGTGCCAATCCTGCAGCTGTTGCATCGCATCTGCCAATCTGACACACCATTGTCACGGCGATGCCGTTGCTTCCTGAGCATCCCTGCACTGCCCTGAACTGCACTGCACTGCACTGCACTGCACTGCACTGCACGGCGCATGCATCATCCACCCAGCATGGTTGCCTTGCCGCAGCAGCATCACCATGCATGCACGCACCGACTCGATCCAGGCCGGTTATTGCACCGCACCAGAATGAAATAGCAGGCTGGCAATTTGCTGCACGGTCGGTCTTACTACCACCCACTTCGTCCGTCGCATCTCGATGGTTTTGCCTTTCATCATTACAGCGAAATCTCTTTTTACTCTCTGTCTGTTGCTGCCGCAGGGGGCATGGTGCAAGAGTTTGTTGCGAACATGCCCAGCGGCTTTAACGAGAATACGAATTGGTCCATCCCTTGGAAGGACTGCAGGGACTGGGAGTGGAGGGAGACTGATGGTCTCATATGCGACTCCAGTAGCCTCGTCACAGCAATGTACTGTTCCTGTTTCTTCTCCTCCTAGTCTTGCAGCAAACGCCTCTGAGGTTTTTCTTCTGTGTGATGGGTGTGCGATGAGCAGTATCTGCAGCACATCTCACCACCGCCTAAGCTGTGCTGTTCTCGTGTGCGCGCACAAGCACGCACGCAGCACACCCATGCACACAAGCAATCATGCCCACGCGTTCATGTCCACAGACACGTGTGTGTGACGTGCACTCAGGCATGCCCACACACACCTCGGTCATTCCGTGCCCATGTACGATCCCTCCCCTCGCAGCTTCATCTCCAACCTATACGATCCCATCCCGACCGTACTCTGGAAACTCACCACCTTGGAGCGCCTGTGAGTGGGGGTGGGCGTGGGCGCTTGAGTTGAGTGCACCGTGATTGTTTTGAGTCGCCTCTGATCCAATCTGACCTGCAAATCGCACATGGGTTGAGTCATTTTCCAGAATGTGCTGTGCAGCTGTGATATGAACGGTACTTGGTTTGAGCACAACTGGAGGAATGGTTTGCTTGCCTGCAGCTGTGCTGTGAAGCTTTCAGAGCGAGTGACTGTGTGAGCTGCTGGTTGTTACTTGTGGATGCCCATGCTCTTGATATCTGTGCATGACCTGTTTTGCAATTGTTATTGCGGTGGAGGAGGAGGAGGAGGAGGAGGAGGAGGAGGAGGAGGAGGAGGAGGAGGAGGAGGAGGAGGAGGAGGAGGAGGAGGAGGAGGAGGAGGAGGAGGAGGAGGAGGAGGAGGAGGAGGAGGAGCATTGGAAGTGGGCCAGAGTGCTGGTTTGTCTGTGTCTGTTGCCCGTGTGCGTTGCTGCAGATCATTGATTTGGGGACCAAACACGGATCCACTCCTGTCGCCTGCCATTTCCGACCTCACCCGTCTCACCTCTCTGTAATAGCGTGTGCCTGCATGCTGCACCACCTGCCATTGCCATGCTGCTTGCATGCAGCAGCAGTGTGGTGCTTTTGAGAATTGTCAAGAGCACCCTTCCAACTTCCACCTGGCTGGTTGGTCTGGCGCATGGCAGGGCAGCTGATGCATGCATGCATACTGCAGCAGCAGATAGACGTGTGATGCGATCATGTGACGTCCAGTGCTGTGCTTACTCGCTCGCATGTGCTGTGCTCACTCGTTCGCATGTGCATGCTTGCTTGCTTCTCTATACACGCCTGCATTGCATGTGGTGCCTGTCCCTCTGCTTGGCTGCATCTGCCACAGACGTGCACACACACTCACGTGCACTCACGGTCGTACATGCGCGTGCACACATACACACATATACACACGAGCACACACACGCGCACGGACACATTCACTCAATCACTCAATCATTCACATTCGCTCGCAGTCACACACACCTCTCTTTGTACACAACCACCTGCTTCTTTGTTGTCCCAGCCTGCCTTGCGTGGCCCACCGTTTCCCTCCCTTACCCACCCCGTTGTTTCTTTCATACGTCTTCTCGGCCCGGCCCCCCTCACACTCCCTCTTCTCCTCCTCTCTCTCCACCACACCACGTTCCGTCCACTGCATCTCTGCATCAGCTCTTTGATGCGCGCTCAACTGGGCACAACAGTTCCAAGTGGCATTCTCACATTGACCGGCCTCAACACTCTGTAAGCAAACCCCCCCTCCCCTCCCCTTCTAAGTGTCCTAGTCAGAAAGTATCCCTTTCAGTGACCGCCCTCAGCAGCAAAAGTTGTAAGCACCGCACCGCGTGCATTCCTCCTCGGAAGCCTCTGCCTGTCTGTTCCCGGAAATCAGGCGCGGCCCTTTCCATTAAGCAGCATGACTTGCAGAGGAACTGCAAGTGTTGCACTGCGTCCCAATCGAGGACTCATGCCTTGACTTGAGGCACCTTCTCAAACACTACCGTGATCTGATCTGATCTGATCTCCAGTTGACTGACTTCTGAGTCGGCTCAAAAGTCAATTCATTTCTATGATCTCCTCTCCTCATGCCGTGCTAGCTTTGGTAGTTTGCGAGTCAATCTTTCCTTCTTCCCCTCCTTGCCACGCTACTCTTGCTTCAGGAGCCTGCGGGACGTGGGACTCACGGGTGCGATTGCTCCAGAAATCAGCAAGCTGACTCGACTCAACGACCTGTAAGCCCGCATTTTGTCTTTTGAGAATTCTCAAAAATCATACTCTACAACATGTGGGACTCACGGGTGCCATTGCTCCAGAGATCAGCAAGCTGACTCGACTCAGCGACCTGTAAGCCCGCATTCACCATGTAAGCAAACCCCCGCAGTCAATCTTTCCTTCATTCCAGAACGGCGCGCATGTGCGCGCGCCTGTGTGTGCGTGCCTGTGTGTGCGTGCCTGTGTGTGCGTGCCTGTGTGTCTGTGTGCGCACGCACGCCATGCCGTCAATCCATGATCCATCCACCATGTGTACCTGCAAGCAATGCCGCTTCCTTGTCTGCATGCACTGCAACAATGTGATTGCTTGAGCTGCGGTATCATGGCATGTCTCATTGCTATCTCTCCATGCTGCCTCTCAATCAATCCTATCTCTCCATGCTTTATCTCCCTGCCCATTCACTCATCTCAATCATGCCATGACCCTCCTCCATGCCATGTACCTTGGTCCCTCCCTACGCGACACCACCCCGTGCCTTCCCTTCCCTTCAAGTGACTTGTCATACAACTCGCTGGCAGGACCCCTGCCAACCGTCCTCTGTATCCCAACCCTCACAAGCTTGTAAGTACCACCTACCGATGCACTCCCTCCTCCCTCTCCCCCATGTTCAATACCCACGTAACCACACCGCATTTGCCGTCTTTTGGGAAATCCCTTGGTTGTTAAGGAGGTGCCTGGGGGCCACACTGTATCTCCTGTGATGTGAGGCACGGCTACGGACTGTGCCAGTGTATCTCTCTTCTCCTGTTCCTGGAAAGAGCACAGTACCACCAGAATCCATCCATCCGTCCATCCATCCATCCATCCATCCATCCATCCATCCGTCCGTCCATCCATCCAGTCAATTACCAGTGTCATCTCCCTGAGCTGGAACATAACGTAACGGCGGGTTAGTCCATCGTCCCTCCCTACGCCACCATCGCACCACCGCAACAACATGGCACTCCTTTGCCGGAGATTCGCCTGCGCAATGGCTACTAGCTACAGCAGCCCCACATCGGCCCTCAAATACCCCTACACACACTGACACAGTCCGGACTGCTAGCTCCGGGCGCTGCTACCTCTGCCTGCCTCTGCCTGCCCTGCGCGCTGCCCTGTGCGCTGCCCTGCGCACTCGTGCCAGATCTGGAACCCCACTGGCTGCTTGGCTAGTTGGTTGGTTGGTTGGTTGGAAGCTGGATGCTGGAAACGCGCTACCTGTGCCCTTTTGAGACTCTTCGCATTGAGAGGCCTCAGATTGAGACGTTTCAGACTCTGCTTGAAGTGCACTCTCGTGCGTGCGTGCGTATGTGCGTGCGTGCGTGCGTATGTGCGTGCGTGCGTGCGCGTGTGCATGCGTGCGTGCGTGCGTGTGTGCGTGCGTGCGTGCGTGCGTGCGTGCGTGTGTGCGTGCGTGCGTGTGTGCGTTCGTGGGCAGGGCCTTGACCGTCAACCTCTTCACGTCCATCCCCGCGGCGGTCTCCGTCATGAAAAGCCTCAAAAGCCTGTGAGCGCTGCTCTTGCCACTGCCCTGCTTCAGCTTTGTTGTCCTGGCTGGTTGTAAAGTCGACTCACAACAAGTCGCCGTCTCTCTGCATTCCAGTGCAGTGCATTGCAGTGCAGTGCAGTACAGTATTGTGCAGCTGAGTGCAGTGCGGTGTAGTGCAGTCCAGCCAGTCCGTGAGCAGTATCAATTCCTTGTTCTTAACCTCTCGATGAACAGCCTTCTCTGGTTTGCCGTCACACTTGATCTACTTACTTCCTGTGATCCCTGCAACTCTTGATGCCCAGCCCACACATTCTCTCTTCCCTTCTCCTCCCCCTTCCCTCTCCCCATCCCCACTCCGTACTCCGCCCCTTCTAGTCAAATCTTTTCTCTGTGCTGTTTTGTGTAATCTTTTTTTTGTTTTCAGTCGCTTGGATTGGGTCTCAACAGCCTCTCAGGGCCCATTCCTCCTCGGAGGATTTTTGAGGCGCCTCAAAAACCTTTCTCTCTGTGCTGTTTCATGGGATCCCTTTCGGTCTCAGTCGCTTGGACCGCAACAGACTCTCAGGGTCTATTCCTCCTCAGATCAGTGTGATGAAAGACCTCTATAACCTGTGAGCATGCCTCCCTTCTGTGCACATGCACTGCACATGCATGCATGCATCATGCTTGCATACTGACTCACCGACGCATGCTTGCCTACTGACTGACTGAGACGTTCTTGTCACATCACAGGTTCGGTCGTTCGGTCGTTCACCATTCATTCATTCATTCATGAGTTTGTTACCCTGCAGTGTTTTCCCCGCTTCGCTTCGACACCACTTCAACACTGGTCTGATGGTCATCGTGTGTGTTTCTGTGCCTTGGCCTGCCAGGGAACTGCAAGACAACGCGCTGACAGGACCCATCCCCGCACAACTCTCTGCCTTTCGCTCCTTGAATTACCTGTGAGAAAGCAATGCAATGCAACGCAGCGCAACGCAACGCTGTCCTCCTGCTTTTGACGCACCTTAACAACCGAGCACGTGTGAGAACGCTGCACTGTGTGTGTTGTGTCATGTCATGTCATGTCGTGTCGTGTTGTGTCGTGTTGTGTCGTGCACCCAGTGTGAAAGGCAGCCTCCAACTAGCTCTCGAGAGTTCTTAACAACCGGCAATCAATCAGTAATGCTCCACTCCACTACTTTCTCACATCGCACGTGTCCGTGCCGTGCCTCCTGCACATGAGATGCTTGCACACCCTCACACATGCAATGTCTTGCATGCACAGCTTTGCTTACTTCTCTGTGAGGATTGCCAAATTAGCTAGCTGAGTCATCAGAAGTACAGCTCTGTGCTGTGCTGTGGGCCAGCAAACGTCGTTGCCAGCAAACGTCGTTGCCAGCAAACGTCGTTGCCAGCAAACGTCATTGCCAGCAAACGTCATTGCCAGCAAACGTCATTGTCAGCAAACGTCACTGCCAGCGCTTTCTCAGATGGTGGTGCTGCTAGCCTGCTACCATATGTCTGTTGGGGCGCCTCAAATGTTCATGTCTGGGGCATATTCATGTCCAAGCACGTGACTGCTGTTGCATGGGGCATCTGTTTGTGTCGTCTCTTTTTCTACACTTGTCATAAGTGACTGTGCTCGCATGTGTGCTGCAGTCGGTTGCAACTCAACAAGCTAACGGGTTCAATTCCAACATTTCCACCACTCATGAAGACAATGTGAGGCCCAACCTCTCTCTCCTCCCTTCCTACAAGCCCACTCCTCACTCACCATACTTTTCCTCCCCGACCATCATTTCTCTCCCCCCACAACCTCATCTCACCTCATCTGACCTCCTTTGGCCTCCTCTAACTAGATGTGGCTTCTGCAAATGCCATCTGACCCCTTTTGACCACACATTAAGAATCTACCTTTCCACTGAAAGTTCTTTGGTCCATTCTCCTGTATGAACTTGAGATTGGGTGATGGTAAAGCTCCGGGAACTTCAAGTGCATTAAGAGGAATGAGGTGGGAAGGAAGGGTATGGAATCCAAGGGTTATGAAGGCTTGAATCGGTGGGGTGAGGTTTCGGTTCGTCACATTCGATTACGCTTACTCTAAACCATGAGACTGAACAATACAGGTACAAAATATGAGATCTGAGTCTACCGCTAACAGCTTCTTCATGCCTTTGCCCTTGCCTTTGCCCTTGCCTTTACCCTTGCTCTTGCCCTCTACTGCAGCAATTTGATGAGCAACCAGCTGGATGGAAGCGTCCCAAAGTCTATCGCTTCTCAGAAATACCTCCAACAGCTGTAAGTTCCTCGTCCTCCTCCTCCTCCTCCTCCTCCTCCTCCTCCTCCTCCTCCTCCTCCTCCTCCTCCTCCTCCTCCTCCTCCTCCTCCTCCTCCTCCTCCTCCTCCTCCTCCTCCTCCTCCTCCTCCTCCTCCTCCTCCTGCTGCTGCTGGCAGTGCAGCCTGGCCAGTGCTCACGTCCGTTCACGTCCTTGTCTCTCTGCTCCTCTCATCTCTATGCATTGTGGACTCTTATATACCTCTATCAACCACAAACCTTTTTCCTTGCTTATCCACACCGGCGATCAACCACGAACCTGATAACGTGTCTGAGTCGACGTGACTATCAGATCCAGTGCTGTTTGTTGTTTCCATGCACTGCGGAACCTGTACCGTACGTACCAAGCCCTCCATCCAGGAGGAACCTGGAAGGCTTCTGAGTTGACGTGACTTCGTGGCAATTCGTAGTCTCAATTGTCGGTTCCATGTGCTGCGCTGCGGGCCTTGTACTGTATCGTACCGTACCGTACCGTACCGTACCGCACCCACCTCTCTCGTGCAGGAACCTGGACAACAACAGGCTCACGGGATCGGTGCCTGTTGGTTTCAGCGCTTCCATTGAGAGAATGTCAGTCACTCGTCTGCCTTGTTTCGCTGTGCCATGTGCTGTGCTGTGCTTGTTCTGAAGATTTTTTGTTTGGATTCGGTCATGCCTAGATTTGGAATTCCACCTTGCTGCTGTTTAATTATGTCTTCCTGTGTTTGCGTTTGTTCGTGTGCATGTTTGTGCGTGCGTGCGTGCGTGCGTGCATGCGTGCGTGCATGACGTATGTGTGTGGGGAGGGGGGGGGGGGGGTTGCGCTCGTGCATGCGTGTGTGTGCGTTGGAGGGGGAAGCTGGCGAAGGAGGAGGGGGCGTGTGTGCGTTTGCGTGCGTTCTCGCACATGTGGTGGGGAGTGAGGTGAGGTGAGGGGCGGGTGGGTGATGTGATGAATGACGCCAGTTCGTTGCGCAACAACCGACTCTCAGGCAAGATTCCTCCCAGCTTCTTCAAAGAAAGCCAGGCCGCTCAGTAAGCCCCACTATCCTGGCCCTAACACACATATGCGTGATAATGCCAACTGTATGCCATCACCTTAACACAGCTCGTCCACGTGTCTCATGGCATGATTGTATCCATGTCAGTGCGTGCGCGCGTGCGTGCGTGCGTGCATGCGCCATTATGCCACCACTTTATCATTTCAACTCAGTACTTTAACATATCACTTATGAGACTTTCATGGTATAGGGATCACTTTTGAGAATCCTCAAAAGCGTCATCTCCTCTTTGCTTCGTCCTTTCTTCCCCTCTTGTCCTCATAATTCCTGTCAAGGTCGTGTCGACTTTTGAGTCGACTTTTGAGGCGCCTCAAAACAAAACTTGACTTTTGAGTCAACTCAAAAGCCTTTCTCCCCCTCTTGTCCTCATACTTCCTGTCAAGGTCGTGTGGCACTGTTTCCCTTCCATCTGTGCCTTTCACCTCTCCCCTCCCTCTTGCCTCTGCTGCATCACCATCATCAACATCCTCAGAACACTGTCCTCCTCAGAACACTGTCCTTCATTCATGCCATACTGGTCGTGTTTTGAGTCGACTCAGAACACCTCTGCTGCATCAACATCCTCAGAACACTGTCCTTCATTCATGCCATACTGGTCGTGTTTTGAGTCGACTCAGAACACCTCTGCTGCATCAACATCCTCAGAACACTGTCCTTCATTCATGCCATACTGGTCGTGTTTTGAGTCGACTCAGAACACCTCTGCTGCATCAACATCCTCAGAACACTGTCCTTCATTCATGCCATACGGATCTGGTCGCCATGTGCTTCCTCCGTGCTTCCTTTCCTCTCAGCACCTTGCCTCGTCACCATCTCTCTTCCTCCCTCAACACCCTTTTCTTCTCAACATCATCCCACTTTGCGTATCCACCGGTTGTTCCTTTCCTCGCAAACTCAGGAAAGTAGCGGGAAACAATGTGCAAGCAGCCCAAGTCATCACCATCCAAGCACTGGGAGACCTCACGTATCTGTGCGTACCCCACTGACCTAACCAGCACCTTTCAGCACCTGTTTAAACCGTTTGCTGCCGTTCTGTACAGATTCGCACCGGTGGTTAGCACCACATGTGCACTATCTATCTACTCGCCATTGTTCGTTGCATGTGTGCGAACGTGTTGTCATTGTAACCATGTTATCAAGTGTTCCTAACGTTGGGACGCAAAGCTCTGCCTCTGTACAAGATAGCAAGTTATTCACCCACCACCATCAGCGCTTGCCATCTGTTCTCCCCACCCCAACGCAACGCAGTGACCTTAGCTCCAACTCCCTTGAAGGGAACATCCCCGATCAAATCTCCGAGCTCACGAAACTCTGGGTTCTGTACGCACTCTCCTCTACGCCAATGGGATTCACTTTTGCGACTTCTCAGAAGTGACTCGCCACCTCTATGCTGATGCAATGGATTGCCTCTTGCTTTGTATTACCGTGATGTGGTGGATGGATGGGGTGAGGAGGGGAGAGGGGGAAAGGTACGCGCAGGTATGCCTCTCGCTCCCTCCTCTCCCGCTCAATCTTCTCAGCATCATCGCACTGCTTCCACCAATGGCTTTGGTTTGACGTATTCTCAGGAGTCAGGACTGTACGCACACACACTGTGACTTCTCCACGTGCAGAATTTCTATCAATAAAACGCTTGCTGCCGTGATGCCTGTCTTCTGTGTTTCCCATCGCATCGCAGTGACCTTAGCTCCAACTCCCTTGATGGAACCATCCCCAATAAGATGTCCACGGTCTCGCAACTCATGACCCTGTAAGCTTTCTGCTGCCCATACGACTTTTGAGGCGCCTCATAAGATGTCATGGACTCGCAACTCATGACCCTGTAAGCACTGTGCTGCTACCCTACCCATACCCGCCTCTTCGTTCCACCCCAAGGCATTGCCTCTTCCTTTGTAATTTAGCTGTGGGAATGGGGTATGCAGACAAGGGTCCTCTCAATGGGCCCTCTCTCTCTCAATCTCTCTCTCTCTCTCAACCAGCAGGAGAGCACGCACCCTATGCCATGGAGAATTTTCTATCAATCAAATGATGAGAGCTCGCCATGATGCCATTCCATGTGTGTTCCCCAACGCAGTGACCTTGGCTCCAACTCCTTTTCTGGAAGCATCCCCGATTGGATATCCACGCTCGCGTATCTAACTACACTGTAAGTGCTGCGCTTGCACGTCTCACTGTGCGGTAAGTGCTGCGCTTTTCTCGTCTCACTGTGCTCAGTCAGTACTGCACTTCCCAGCACATCTGTCTCCCTCTTCCCAGACAGGTGGAGCGATCCTTTCCCGACTGACTGCTCGCTTGCATGTATGATGCACCCAGATAGATACATCTCCTTATCATCAAACGCTTCTACCAATCAAAGCATGCCATTTGCACTTTGTACTTTGAACTTCCCCCCACGACATCGCAGTGACCTTAGCTACAACTCCCTCAATGGAACCATCCCGAGCGGGGTAGGCGAGATCCCGTATCTTAATGTGATGTATGTATCCCTTCCCGCCTCCTCCTGTGCAACCTGCAACCTGCAACCTGCAACCTTTGGCTGCTCCTTCCCTCCCCAACCCATTGTAACTCTACCCAGCACTTCTTGGTGCTTTGCTGCTCTTCCTTCTTCTGTATTTTCAACTTGCATCCAGAGTAACGGTTGCACTTCCTCCTAAATCGCCGTGTGCGTAAGAGAACCCACCCCCTCTCTCTCTCTGTCGCACCCTCTGCGCCCGTGTCAGGGACCTGAGCAACAATCAGCTGAGCGGGAGCATTCCGCAGAGCCTGTCTCGTCTCCAGCAACTGCTTTAGAGGCGCCTAAAAAAAAACCCACACTCTCCCCTCTGTGTTGCACCCTCGGCGCCCGTGTCAGGGACCTGAGCAACAATCAGCTGAGCGGAAGCATTCCGGACAGCCTGTCTCGTCTCCGATATATGACAATGCTGTGAGTGACTTTTGGGGCGGGTTGTTGCTTTGTAGTATCCATGTCTCAAGTCTTGTCTCCGGCAACTGACAGTTCTTTGAGTGTGCCAAACGTTTAGTCCAGCAATGTCCTGTGCAGCAACATGCAGTGCAGCAATGTCCTTGTCTCTCTCTTCTCTGCCTATAGCATCATCTATTTGTTCCCACCAGCCTGCATGCATGCACCCCAATACAACTCATCGCCGTACATGTCTGTGGTAACAATGTCATGCCATGTGTTCTGTTCTCCCCAACGCAGTGACCTGAGCTCCAACCTGCTTGATGGAACCATCCCCGATAAGATCTCGGAGCTCCAGCAACTCAGCGTGCTGTAAGCACTGCTGCGCCACTACCCACCTCCTCTGCCCTGCGCCACCCCCTGCGTTTCCTCTTCTCTCCTGAGAATGCTGCAACTCCGTGCTCATCTAGCTTTCCTCAGCCTCGTCATCTGTTTGCATCCTCCAACTTCTGTTGCTGTCTCGCCATTCCTCTCCTTCCCCTTCCCTCTTCCTCTTCGTCATCCCACAATTGGCGGCTCATTATATCAGCGAATATGGTCCTGTTGCTCATGTTGCATTCAACTCTACATCTTGTGCTCCCTGTTGTAGCACACGTCTCAAAACCCCCTCTGCCTCTTTTTCTTACCGTCTGCGCCCGTGGCAGTGACCTGAGCAACAATCGTCTGAGCGGGAGTGTGCCACACGGCTTGACCGGTCTCACTCAGCTCACAGTCCTGTGAGTCATCTTATGCATTCATGTCATGTTATTCCATTGGGCCTCCGTGCTTTGTACCGACATCATTTGCGGTATGCTGTTGTCAATGGTTGCACATTTATTCATCCTTCTCACAATCACTTCCTTTTGCATTATCTTCCCCTTCCCCTTCCGTCACTCTCTTTCATCCCTATCACTACACCCCCCCTTTCCTCCACCGAGGCAGTAGCCTGCGCAACAACCAACTGAGCGGCTGTCTGCTGCAGCCCATCCCTCCCTCCGTCAAGCAATACCAACTAGACAGCAACTTCTTCTCCTGCGGCTTCTCCTCTCCGCCCGACTGCACCAACACCATCATAGCCGTGCAAGCCAACTGCCTTGGCACGGCAGACGTGCCGCCCTGTCCCATGGACCCGCAGCGAGTGACAGAGGTCTGCGCGTCCTTCTGCGGTCTTTCTGCCACCTCACTTCCCTGCGCCGGGCACGGCACGTGCTTCTATTCCGGTCCCAACAAGATCCCCACGTGTGCCTGCAACACTGGGTATACCAACGGGGAGCTTCCAGGGACATGCGTGGCCGTTGTTGCTGCTGGTCCTACTCCGGCTGACTTCTCCCTCCTGACCTCGATCAGTGTTTCTTCTGGCGACGGTGGCGGAGCGGCGATGGCGGTGAAAGGAGCAGCAGCGGCGCAGCCGGATAACAGCGTGGTGCTGACGAGCAACAGCCAGGCGGCATGGGGAGCCGCGTTCCTGGTGTCGCGCGTGCGGCTCTTCTCCTACACCGTCAAGAACCACTCGTGCGGCCGCGAGATCGGCCTCAAGCTCTCCTTCTCCTTCTCCCTCGCCCCGGCCACCGGCAGCAACAACGTCGGCAAGGGAGGCCTCGCGTTTGTCATCGCAGCAGCAGATGCCGTTCCCGGGGGTGATGGCAGCACTCTGGGTTACTCCGGCATGAGCGAGCGCAGCATCGCAGTGGAATTTGACACGTTTCAGGATGCGAGCAGCAGCGACCCGGACAGCAGCCACGTGGGCATCAACGTCGGCGGCTCCGTGGTTTCCATCTCCACTGCAGCGGTGCCAGGGCTGAACACAGGGAGCACCAAGTACACGTGGATCGACTACTCTCCCATGAAAGGCGGCCTGCTGTCCGTGTATGTGGCTAGTGCTGCCTCTCGCCCCGCCAAGCCGACTCTCAAGCGCAGTGTGTCGCTGTGTGATGTGCTGAAGCCCACGTTTGAGCAGGCCACGTTTGTCGTTGGCTTCACTGCTGCCTCGTCTGACCCGCCTCAGAAGCAAACGGTGCTGCAGTGGTCGCTGGATACAGGTAGCTGTTGCTTGGTGGGCTTGGGATGGGGTGGGGATGGGATGGGATGGGGTGGGATGGGGTGGGGTGGGGTGGGGTGGGGTGGGGTGGGGTGGGGTGGGGTGGGGTGGGGTGGGGTGGGGTGGGGTGGGGTGGGGTGGGGTGGGGTGGGGTGGGGTGGGGTGGGGTGGGGTGGGGTGGGGTGGGGTGGGGTGGGGTGGGGTGGGGTGGGGTGGGGTGGGGTGGGGTGGGGTGGGGTGGGATGGGATGGGATGGGATGGGCTGGGCTGGGCTGGGCTGGGCTGGGCTGGGCTGGGCTGGGCTGGGCTGGGCTGGGCTGGGCTGGGCTGGGCTGGGCTGGGCTGGGCTGGGCTGGGCTGGGCTGGGCTGGGCTGGGCTGGGCTGGGCTGGGCTGGGCTGGGCTGGGCTGGGCTGGGCTGGGCTGGGCTGGGCTGGGCTGGGCTGGGCTGGGCTGGGCTGGGCTGGGCTGGGCTGGGCTGGGATGGGATGGGATGGGATGGGATGCTGCCTGCCCGCCTGCCTACCTGCCTGGCTGCCAGAAGTGTGTGCTTTTTGCTTCGCTCGCTTTGCTGCTCCAGCAGGCAACCGTTGCTTGCTGCTCCAGCAGGCAACCGTTGCTTGCTGCTCCAGCAGGCAACCGTTGCTTGCTGCTCCAGCAGGCAACCGTTGCTTGCTGCTCCAGCAGGCAACCGTTGCTTGCTGCTCCAGCAGGCAACCGTTGCTTGCTGCTCCAGCAGGCAACCGTTGCTTGCTGCCAGAAGTATGCTCTCTTGCGTTGCTTCCCCTCCGCGGTTGCAACTAGCTGCGCATGCTTTTTCCTCGATATGCACTGCTTGAATGGACGGCACTTGGCTCAGTCAGTTTTTTTCCCTCTCCGCTCGTTCCCTTTCTCCTGCAGATTTTCCAACCCAGGACACCGTAACAGGTACGGCTTGCCATGTTGTATCTTTCAACGAGTTTATGCATGGTCCGTCCAAGAAAGTACCTGCCATATGCACGTGGTGACAAGTTTTCTCGCTTCGAAGAAGCAGGAGACTGCTATGATTGTCTGTATCAGTTTGGAACCACACCACCACACCGTAGTAATCTTCTCACCGTCACCTCTCTATTGCTCTTGTCTACTGCCATCCTCTTCCCCCGCCCCGCCCTGCGTCCACCACCCCACCACAGCCCTACCACTGGGCTTCACGCTAGCAGAGGCCACGTTCACCACCTCAGGAGTCAACCGTTTCTTCCGCTACGCCAGTGCCGGCGCGCTGCAGCCCTCCTCCTCCTCAGGAGGAGCACCGGGGGCGAGCACAGCGGACGAGGAGCAGCAGTGGGCAGTGGCGACCAACATGACATGGGTGCGCGCAGACCTTCTTCCCAGCTGGTCGGTGCCCAGCCAGGGGGGGTGTGGCGACTGCTGGGCCTACGCTGTGGTAGCAAGCATCGAAGCCGCCTACGCCATCCTTGCAAGCAACGGCTCGCTGCCCGTCTTTTCTGTTGACTCGCTCGTTGCTGATATGAAGGCGGATTGTTCCGGGGGATCGCCTTCTAAGGCCTTTCAGTACCTGCTTTCTGTTAGCAAGCGCGGCGGGGGGTTAGAGGTGCAACAGACGGGAGGAGGAGCAGCAAGGGTTAAGAAGGGCGGAGCGAAGGGCGCGACGGGTGTGGCTGTGGCAGTGGGAAGCGGTGCGGTGGGGTTGCAGGGGAAACAGGGAAAACAGGGGGCACTGACATCGGCAGCAGCAGCGGCGGCAGCAGCGGGTCAGAGTCCACTGTGCTCGCCGCTGCTGAAGCCGATAGCAGCTCTGTTTGGAATCAACTGCACACCACCCAAGCAGACAACCAAACCCACCGTGGTGAGTGCTGTCTTTATAACTGAGCAAGCACTCATTCGCCTCCATTCTCACATCGCATTGCACCCGGGCTGGCTGGCTGGCATGCAGCACGCACGCAGGTGCGACTTTTGAGGCGCCTCGAAAAGAATTATAACCAACCAAAGCATTCATTCGCCTCCATTCTCACATTGCAGTGCTCCCGGCTGGCATCATACATGCACCGCAGGTGCGGCCGGGCTACAGCATAACGGGCTTTGAGCGGGCGGCCTTCTACAGCTGGTTTGGGCTCGTGCTGGCGGTGCAGCGGCAGCCCGTGGTGGTGCACATAGAGGCGTCTGCCGACTCCTTTCTCAACTACGACGGGGTGAGTGCCTGCTGACCTTTTTCTCAACTACAGACGGGGTGAGCGACGTATGATAGGGAGGGTGGGTGAGTGGGTGGGAGGATGGGAGGGGTGGGCGAGCGGGTGCGCGGGAGGGCGAGTGGGTGAACGGAGGGGGTACTCTGAAAGGCCTCTGCAAGAAAATTACACCTGGAACTCACTATCTTTCCTCCGCGGTCCTCTCCTTATCCGCTTGACAAAAGTCCCAGACTGTTTGATCATTAGCCACTTCCCCACCCGCTCACACGTCTGCAATCGAAGCACACTCATTTCTCGTTCCTGTGCTGATGCTGCTGCTTCTTTCCTTCTTTTAGCATAGCACATTAAAAGAATGCAAAAACATCAGCAGTCATAGCTAGCTGCTACGATATGAGACATGCGCTTTTCTCTGTGCCTCTCTATCTCGTCCTCACTCGCCCCAGCTGTGCAAGTACCAGGACCCGGCGTGCTTCACGTACAACCTGAACCACGTGGTGCTGCTGGTGGGGTACCGCCTGGTGGGGTTTGACGAAGCCTTCCCCCACATGTCGCCGCCTTATTGGATCATCCGCAACTCGTGGGGGCCTGACTGGGGCGATGGGGGCTACATGCGCATGGACATCCAAGGGGGGAATGGCGTGTGTGGCATCAACACTCTGCCAGGAGTCTACCCTATCGTTCTTGGTATGATGGTGATGATTCCCTTCCTGCTGTTTTGCTGCCAAAAGATGTTGTCTCTGGAGTTGCTGCCATGCATTTGCTTGCTGGGAGCACGTCATATTCGCACCAAGCTACTTCGACGGCGCCTCGTACAGCACGTCGAACAAAACCCAACCCAAGTACGAAACCTGTTTCCGTTAACGACAGTAGTACCGCTCTAGAGGGAATGGAACATAAGCATAATCATATCTCTTTCTGGCACCATCAAGAGTGTCTCTACTTCACGCCTGCAAGAGCTCGACACACTGCGTTTTGTAATCATGATTGTGTATGTAGCAATGCATTTTGGATATGCTCGACCATACCATACCATGCATGCATCCTTTCTAACCCCCTTCTACCCTCCACCCAATCCTCTATCACTCGACCCCATCCCAACCCACCTCGCCCCACCCCACCCTACCACACCGCACTCCACCCAGACAAGCAGGATCCGTGCAACAACCGGGCGCACCACGATACGATCGGCGCAGTGTTGAACCCGTGTGGCAACTTCAAGTGCACGGTGACTGCTGATGGCACGTCCAACCGCTGCGACTGCAACACGGCATCTGACGGTCGATTCATTGAGGCCAACAACACAGATGGCTCCCGCACCTGTGCCTACGGTATGTGGCATGCATGCCCGCTCCCGCTCCCGCACCCGCACGTATCCTCTGCCTCACCGTCGCGTATGGCACTCTTTTGTAGTTCTCAAAAATGATATACAATTCCCTCTGCACTGTAACTCGCCTGTGCATATGGTACAATCCCTCCCTCACCAACTGGGCAACTGCAGCAACTGGGCGTATGGGCATTGCTGTTCTCCCTCTGCTTTTGTGTTTGTCCCTCACACAGCCATGTTGCTCTGCGCTCCTTCCATCCAGCCCTCCCTGTCGCCGATGTACCCATGCCTCTTGCACACATGCACACAACACTTACTCACCCCTGCCTCCCTCCCGTGTCCCTCTCCCTCTTGATCCCCCTGTCCCGCTTGCTCTCTCTTTCTTCTTGCACACGCCCTCGTGCTCTCGATCTCCTCCTGCAGTGGATGCCTGTGCAGCGCAAATCCGCAACCCGTGTGCAGTGGGAACGTGTGTGAATGACGGGGCGGGGTCATACTCGTGTGTGTGTCCACTGGGCTTCAGGCAGGGCACCACCGTCGATGGCACCTTCTCCTGTGCTCCTGGCAGCACCAACGGCACCTACACTGTGATCTCAAACAATGTCAAGTGCTCAGACGTCTTTCCCATCTACGGCCTCTCCCTGGAACAACTCAAGCAGCAGAACCCGGTACGTTTTCGTGCTTGTCTTATCTTTAGTTTCTCTTTGTGAATCTTCAGAATGACCTGTTTTTCGCCTTTTCTCCCAGCAGCAGTGCATCCTGCAACATTTGGTGTGCTGCTGTGCTGCATGTGTGCATGGGTGTATGGGTGAGTGGCACGTGCACGTGTGTTCGTGCAATGCGTGTTTGTTCTTTCCAGCCAGCAACCTCCTTATGTTGCTTCTTTCTTTCTGCCATCGCACCCAATCACCTCCTCCTTCCCTCCCTCCCTGTTCCGCTCCCTCCCCCACAACCACCAGTCCATTGCGTGTGACGCGCCTCTACCAGTGGGCACGGTGCTCCAAGTGGCTCCGCCCACCACCATCACGCCCTGCACTGTCTACTACACCACGGAGGAGGTACGTGGCAGATAGTAGGTGTGGGGGGGTAAGTGATGGGTCTGTGGGAGGTTCTAAATGGCGTGTGGTGGGAGTGTGTGGTGGGTAGTGTGTGGTGGGTAGTGTGTGGTGGGTAGTGTGTGGTGGGTAGTGTGTGGTGGGTAGTGTGTGGTGGGTAGTGTGTGGTGGGTGGTGGGTGGTGACTGGTGTGTGCTGGGTGGTACCCATGCATCATACAGGAGGGAAAGAGCAGAAGCTGCTTGCGAGTGCGGTGCCATGTGCCTTTGCCCCGTCTGCCATCACACCCTGCTCCGTCTACTCCCGTGAGGTCCTGCCAGCCAGCCTGCCTCTTCGAGAGGGCAATTCCCAATCTCCTCTTTGTGTCCTTCCTTCCCGATTTCCTCATATACCCTCCCCATGCCACCTCCCTGCCCCCTGTCTGCCCCATCCGTTGCTCTTCCCCAGGGTGACACGTGTGAGGCCCTGGCGACGTACTTCTCGCTGGCCAGCACGTGCCCATCCTCTGAGTGCACGGCAGCCTTCCAGGCGCTCAACCCGGGGGTGGACTGCACCGCCAACAGCGCCAAGCTGCCCCCGAGCCAGGCCGTGTGTGTGGAGCGGCGGGCGGAGATGGTGGGGGTGGTGGCGCTGTGCTCGCAGTACTACTATGTGGAGAGCGCCGAGACGTGCGAGTCCATCCGCAACGTGCCCGACCCGCCTCTCTCCCACGTTGACTTCTACCGCCTCAACCCCGGCATCAAGTGCAGCCGCCTCGTGCCCAAGACCGACGTTGGCACCTTCACCGGCTTCGAGGTGAGCCTGGGGTGATCATGTCCAAAATTAAGTTGACTCGAGAGTCCAGATGACTCTTGAGTTAACGATGTAATCAGCTCATTTTTCGTGGTTTGCGCTTCGCTGCCTTTTAGGTAATCTTGAGGGCTCCTTTTCAGCTCGTTATGGGTGAACGTGAGGCAGGGTTCTGAATGGGTTTTTTTTTTTACTCTCAGCCTCTCCTTTTGTTCGGTGTGCTACACGTGCTTTGCAGGCTTGTGTTGGGAGCACGGACAGTCTTCTCCAAGGGACATGTCCCCGTGCCACTGCCATTACAATCGGCACTGGTGATCGCTGCACAGCTATCCAGGTCAAGTATTTCCGAGGTGTGAAAGGCTGCTATAAGCACATAAACGGTTACGACTGCATCGACAAACTGATCAAGGGTACAAAAGTGTGCATTCCAAGCAAGGTGAAAATAGCCCAGGGTAAATGCGAGCCCTGACATTTAAAAGATATAAAGGCAGGTGGGCTTGCAAGACAAATTTCTTACCGGTACTCAGTATCCTTTTTCATTAAACCAGCATCGTGATAACTAGTGTTGTAAGAAGCTTAAGGGTGCATGCATAATGATTAGGACAGTTTTTTTTCAAGGCCAGCCTGATAAGGGCCCGTAGGAACATTTGTTCGCTCTAAGCTCAGGCCTATGCAACTCTATACTGGCATCCTTTGCCTTGCCTTCTATAAAGCATGGGTTATGCGCCAGTACTCTGTGCAATTCTAGTTTGCTTGTATTCTTTGCAGTGACGGCTAGCTATTTGTGAGTGGGATTAATGGAGCCGCTTTTAGACAAGCCCTTCGGTTGGAAAAATTGCGCGACGCGACAGGCGCCGAACTTCTCTCAAACCCATCGACCAAGCTCGCACTACCGCTTCTATACACGCACTCTTGCGTCCAGCTCCCGCTTCAATTTTGCCGCCGACCGCGGTATCTGCTCCTCCTATGTCGCCGGCCGTCTCGAAACCATCTCCCATATCTTCTTCGAGTGCGGGGCTGCCGTTCCGGTTACTTCGTCGCTCCGTACGTTGGCTCATTGCCACCTTGGTCTCTCCATCTCCACGGAACAAGTGTTTTTCCCCCTGCCATCCCGCGCCGGTCAATGTGCTCCTTGGAGTCTTTTAGCTGGTGCTGCTGCCAAGGCGCTTTGGAATGCCCGCTGTAAGCGCAAATTTCCGAGACTCCCATATCAACACGTTTGAAATTCTTCAACTGATCCTCGCCCAATTCCTCATTGCTTTCAAGATTTTCCTCTGGCGTAACGAGAGGCGCTCCACCAAGAGACGGCGTTTTGCTGCTGCATCCATCTCCTATGCCAAGACTTCTCGTTTTTCCACCTTCAATAACGACGGTGTTCCTGAAATTCACACTGATTTGCGTGCCTCATGGCTCCTGAACGACACGTTTCGTCCACCTTAGTGACCCCTGCCTCCCCTATGCCGAGCGACCTCTATACACAGGGGCTGTCCAGAGGACAGAGGATTAGCGTTGTTTAGGCACCTTCTTCCCTGAAGGTTGGCTAGCTTAGCCATTCTCTTTTCGCTCTGTATAGCCTTGTAAATGATTACGATCTATATATAACATTCTAACATTCCATCGACCAAGCTCGCACCACAGATAGGGCGATCCGAACCTCGGCCAAATGGATCGACCTACATGCGCTTCCACGTTATCTTCATGCTGCGAACACGTTAAATTAAGCGTTACAGGTGCCATTTGGTTTTACGGTCAGAATCGCGAAATTACAGTTTGAGTTCCGATTCTTCCATTATACATATTTAATTTCGCTACACGACGCTACCAAGTGAGTCAGCATGCTGACCGCAGGCAAAAAAAAATAAACCCCATGGCTTACGGCATGCCATTCGGGAGCCTCAACCCTAAAATTTTAGGGTTGAGGCTCCCGAATGGCATGCCATCTGGATGGGGTTTATTTTTGTTCTTGCCCGCGCAATATATATCCCAGAAAACAATAAACGTGGCTCGCGCGCCAAACATCGCGCTTCCGAAACAATGACATCGAGAGGGACCACCGCCTCTTACGCATCAGAATTGTCTGTTTTTATCGCAAAAGCGCATGTAGGTCGATCCATTTGGCCGAGGTTCGGATCGCCCTACCTGCGGTGCGAGCTTGGTCGATGGGGTTGAGAGAAGTTCGACGCCTGTCGCGTCGCGCAATTTTTCCCCTTCGGTTCCTAGTTTCCAGGCATTTAGGGTTGAGGCTCCCTGACCGGATGCATGCCCGAATGGGGTTTATTTTTTTTGCCCGCGGGCAGCTAGCTCCTTCGGGCGTCGACCTGATCCCGCCGAGCTATTCCCGGCGTAAGGAGGCGGGCGTTTGTTTTCCCAACTTTCCCCTCTGTAGACTTGTACGTATTTGTGATTGGTGGAACACAGGATCAGGTGAGGATGAATATTCCCGGTCAGCATACTCATATTCTTAAGAATATGGGTTGCTGACCGGCTTTCAATAAGAGGGCTTACGTGGGTTTCTGTTCATAACGTCATCTCTAAGCGCGCCTCCGTGTTGGATCAGGGTTCAGGAGATTTGAATACAAACTGGGATTGGGTACCAAGCCAGAGGTCTCCACAAACTGAGATGGAGGCTGATTGATTTGCAAATGAGATAGTTTTCCGTCGTCGTGCGTTCTCGTGCTTCGAAGGCGAGACTGTAACCACTTCGCGCAAGGACGCACACAGTTGACCTATCGTCGCACGATTGCTCGATTGGGCAAGCTGCACAACAACTGTCGCGGCCTGATCTTACGTGGATGCATTGATCATGGCTGGTCGTGCCGGAGCACTGTACACATGAGACAAGTTTCAGCGAACCACCATTGATTTTTTCTCACCGGTTGCAATTTTGGATGCCCTAATCAAGAGATCAGGAAGAAAGACCCAGAAAAAAGTCCTACTGTACACCAGTCCAGCGTGGACGTCTCCAACCTGTCATTCGACAGACCCTCTCCTAGCGTCGCGTGGGGCAAGCGACCAGCACAGCAATCATGAGGGGAGAGGGAGGGACGAAGGAAACTCCGAAATGCGGCGCAAACTCGCTTTACAGGCGGCGGAGCTCCCGCACGCGTCGGCGGGGGCAGCTGAGCAATGTCCACCTGCCCAACCCCCACGTACCCTAGTTTCCAGCAGCAACATCTAGGTTTTGGCTTCTCCGACCTGCCCGTGAGGACGTTGAAGAGGAGCAGTAGAATTTTCAGATTACTGTATTGACGGTTGTTGGGCGAGAAGTAATTGCAGTGACGTGCGGAACTTTATTTCCCTGCCCGGAGAGTAGCTTGTTTGTGTTCGTCTTGAAGAACAATCCAGAGAGCTGAGGTGGATGAGGAGGAAGGGGGCTGGAGCAGCAGCAGCCAACGCAAGAGCCCACACAGTAGCAAGAGCGAAGGGAACGCGTAGACAGGCTTCAGAATTCAGCTTCATGCTGAGCCGTAAAGCAGTCGTCAACGCTACGATGATAGGTTTTGTTGGCGGAGAAGTCTCATAACTTATTCGACATTTCGTGGTGAATTTTGTATCCGAGAATTGTTTTCCACGTTGCGGTGGTGATTTTCGCAGACTAAGTTAAGGAGGACGGGCTCTTCAACGTGCACTGTTGGGAGGGCAATGGCGCCGGTCGTGTTTGTGTCAGTTGTCCAGTGAAACTTACCTAACCACTTATCACTAACACTATGGGTTTATACACAGGCAGCGACGTTCAACGAGATATACAGACGGAATGCGGGGTTGACGGAACGGTTACAGTTTCTCCAAGCGTAAAAGGATCTGCCCCGCCGTTTACAAACGGGAAAGACAATAGTGCGTTGGCAGAGATCGTCACGAGACGAGAAGCTGCCGTAAGCGGCGGAGACGACGCGACGGATCTCGTTACCGTTTTGACAGATGGTGAAGGTGACGAGAGCGGAAGTGGCAGTTTTGAAGCCGTAAGCAGTAGCGAAAGGTTCGGAATAAGTCTGGAGTCGAGCAAAGAAGAAAGCGGGGCGAGCAGCAGCAGCAGCAGTAGCAGCAGCAGCGGCAGCAGCAGCAGCAGCGGGAGTAGCGGTAGCAGCCATCACGGCTTGCAGAACGGTCATATGGAGGGAGAAGCGATGGGCTTCGCGGATGGTGAAGGCTCGGGGGACGGGAGAGAGGCGCAACGCGACGGGGAGGTGATGTCTAGAGAGCGACACGACATTGCGGTAATTTACGAGATGCATCCCGGGGGAGTGGGTCGAGAAGGTGTTGAGGAGGGCGATAAGGAAGGAGAGGGGAGATTGGACGGGCAGGTTCCAGAGAAAATCGGGGCAGATGAGGAAAGGGAAGATGAGGGCGAAACGGGGGAAGGGATAACGGAGGCGGAGAAGGAAGCGAGGCGAGAGATGGAGGAGGACGGGAGTGGTGGTTTGTTGCAACCGAAGTTGCGCGGATACGCGGAGCGGGGTGAGGAGGAGGAGAGTAATGACGAGGAGGTGGGTGAGGAAAGTGGAAGGGAGGGAAGCAAAGTAGGGGAGGAAGAAATTGACCGTGAAATTGACAGAGGTAGTGACGGAGAGAGGGATGAAATTAGGTCGGAAAGAGGAAGCAATGATGGTGATGAGCATCACTCGCGCGACGGCGAGAACGACATCCGTGCGAAAGGCGACGACGAAGGCGAAGAGCAAGAGGAGATGGAAGAGGGCCGCGTGGTCGCGAACGCGGACGACGAGGACGGCGACGACGGCGACTCGGTAGCCGGAGCAGACGACCGCGACGGCGGCGGAGACGTCAGCGACGACGATGACGACAGCGTCGAGGGCATCGCTCGTCGGAGCCTGGCTTTGGAGCAGCAGCGACGGAACGGGCTCGATGCCATGCGCGGCGAACGCAGTGACCGTTGCAATGGCGGCGGCGGCGGCGGGGGGGGCGGCGTTGTATCTGACGGTGAGGCTTCCGTTCCCGACGGGCTCGATAACGACGACGACGGCAGCGACGATGGCGGCGACGACGGTAGCGACGGTGACGACGGGAAAAACGACGACGGTGACGACGGCGAGGATGACGACGACGACGACGCGCGCGCGCTTCGCGAGGCAGACGGCGCGTCAAGCGCGGGAGACAGCGCAGCGGACGAGGCGAGCGCGTTGGAGGAGCTGCAGGAGATGCTGCGGAGTCGGATGGCCGTGGCGCCCGCGGGCGCAAGTGGCGGCGGCCGCGGCGGAGGCGCAGGCGGCCACGATTCCGCCGCCAGCCACGCGAGCTCGCTCTCCGCGCAACCCCGCCAGCAGGAGCCGCTGTCGCCGCTTTCCGCGGCGCTCGAGGCAGCTTCCTCTGCCGCCGCGGCCGGCGCCGCCCCTGCTCCTGCCGCCGCCAGTGGCGGTGGCAGTGGCGCGGCGGCTGGTTCGGCTCCTCCGCCGATGCGACTGGGCCATGCGCAGGGCTCGGCTCGGAACCAATGGGCGGCGAACCTAGCGACGAGGTTCGGCGAGCCGGAGCTGTTTGACCTGATGTCGCCTCCCGTGTCTGATGGTGGTTCGGAGGGAGAGTTGGAGGATCGGAGCTGGGGTAGTGAGAGTGAAAGGAGTTTTGAGGGTGGGAGTGATGGGGAGCGAGCGGGGGAGAGCGACGGGGAAGGGGAGAGTGTGCGGGGCAGTGTGGAGGATAGTGTGGGGGATAGAGAAAGTGTGGGCGATGGCGAGAGTGTCACGGAGAGGGAGAGTGTGTCAGATGACGGGGAGAGGAGGAGTGAGGGAGGGAGCGATGAGGGTGGTGAGAGGTGGGGGGAGAGAAGGTATGGTGATGAGGAGGAGGAGAGAATGGCCGGGGATGGGAGTGAGGGCGCAGGTGATATGGGATTGCACGAACTGAAGCCTGGAAGGCTTCTATCCGGAGACATGGCAGAGCAGAGGCAGCAGGAACAGCTGCAGCAACGGCAGCAGCAGGAGGAAGAGGAGGAAGAGGAGGAGGATGTGGGAAGGCCCGAGTCGTGGCGCGGATGGTGCTCTGCTGGTCACAGGCGCGTGGGGACTCTGGAGAGAATCTGGGAAGAGGAGGAGAAGGAGGTGGAGGAGGAGGAAGAAGACGAGGAGGAAGAGGGAGGTGCAACAAAGAGTACGGAGGGCAGTGCTGCGGCGGCGGTGGTGGTGGCTCCTGTGCCGGGTGGACGTGCTTTGGCGACTGAAGCGCAGAGCGATGGAGAGGCGGGTGATAAGGTTGACACATCGGAGCTAGAGAGGGATAAGGACAGCGAAGGGAGGAGTGAGGTGGGGAGCGAGGATGGGAGCGAGGAGGGGAGTGAGGAGGGAAGTGAGGAGGAGAGCGAGGAGGAGAGTGAGAAACTGACGGTTGAGATACAGGCGATGCTGAAGAAACTGAAGAGGGATTTTAAGAAGGAGAGCGAGTGGGGAGGGAAAGAGGAGGAGGAGCAGCAAACAGAGGGAGTGATGATCCCTGCGGTGCATGTGGTGGCGAGCAGTAGGGAGGAGAGTGAGGGGGGAAGCGACGGAGAGAGTGAGGGGGGGAGTGAGAAGGTGAGTGAGACGAGGGTGCTTGGGACATCAACAGCAGCGGAGCCGGCAGAGGATGCAGAGGTAAGAGAGGAGGTGATTGGGTCAGCACAGTCAGGAGAGTTGTTGTTCCGTGAGGATTTGTGTGAGGTGAGTGTTGTGTCGGCTGCTGCGGCGGTTGAGGGGGAAGGGCGGGAAGAATTGGGGGAGACGGGAGGAGAGATAGGAGGGCGGAGAGAGGAGGAGGAGAGAGAGGGTGAGAGGGCGAGTGAGAATGGGAGCGAGATAGGGAGCGAGGAGAGAGAGGATAGGAGCGTTGGTGGCAGTGAAAGAGGGGAGTTAGAGAAAGAGGGTTCTGTTGTTGAGGTGATATCGATTGGTGGGGGTGATAGCGGTGACGACGCAGAGGAGGGGAGTGAGAAGGCGAGTGAGTGTGGAAGTGAGAGTGAGGGCGGGGAGAGAGGCTTGGAAGACGAGAGGAAGGCATCAGAAGGTGAGGAAGAGGAGGGGGTAAACGGAGAGAAGGAGAAGGTGGGAGGTGGAAACGGGGAGGAGAGGGGGAGGAGGAGGGGAATGAGGAAGAAGCAGCGTTGCAGACGAGTGTATGTGAGGGTGGGGAGGGTGGGGAGAGTGGGGAGGGCGGTGAGGGTGGAGAGGGTGGGGAGCAAGAGGTGGAGGCAGTAGCAGCAGAGAACCGCACGGTTGAAGCCTCTGAGGAAGCCAGTCAAAGTCTGCATGTCAACGCTGCCGATTCTGCTGCTGCTGCTGCTGATGATAAGGGTGCAGAGGCAGGGGCAGGGGCCGATGCTGAGAGTGCGGGTGCGGGTGCGGGTGCGGTGGGCGGGTGGGGAGGCAGAGTGGCGCGGGTGCTGTCTTCGTACGGGCCCGACCTAGATCTCTTTGAGCTTCGCTCGCCTCCTGTTTCCGACTCCGAACTCGAACGCTCCGAGTCTGGCTCGGAAGCAGGCTCGGACTTTGGCTCGGGCTCGGGCGCGTCCGGTTCGGGATCGCTTTCGCGGACGGCGTCTGGTTCGGGGAGCTACAGCGATGGGGAGAGAAGCGAGGGGGGGTTCAGTGGGGGGTATGGATCGGAGGACGGGGAGAGGGAGGGGGAGGAGCGAGTGGAGGCGGGAGGTGGAAGTGGGTCGGCGGAAGGAAAGGGGGTGGTGGCAGAGCATGAGGCAGAGGGAGAGAGGAAGGTTCAAATGGAAGAGGCGAGCGTGACTGCAGTAGCAAGTACAGCAGCAGAACAAGGGTCAGCAGGGGGACCGGAAGTGGAGGTAGGGGAGCCTGCTGTGAGGCCGGAGAGGGAGGAGGGGAAAGTGGAGGGTGAGGGTGAGGGTGAGGGTGAGGGTGAGGGTGAGGGTGAGGGTGAGGGTGAGAGCGAGAGTGGCGCCACTGCCAACAGAGACATGAGTAGCAGTGGCTCTAGTGGTGCTGCTGCTGGTGGTGTTGTTGGTGATGCTGCTGATGCTGCTGCTGCTGCTGCTGGTGCTGCTGATTGGCGGCAGTGGTGGCAGTGGTGCGTTTGGTAGTGGCTCCTGGGGGAACTCTTTGCCTGCTGGGGGGTGGCCTGTGGCAGCGGCTCCTCCAATGCCCAGAACCACCGGTCTTACTGCTGCTGAGCTTGACCTGATTCTGCATGCCAATCCCGAGAGGGATGAAGGCTCGGGCTCGGATGCTGAACCGACTCCGAAGATGCTCCGGCGAGGTGGACACGTGGCGGCTGCTGACGTGGCGAGGGAGGTGAGCACGGGAGAGTTGACGCCCGAACCGCTGTCGGGTTTCGAGTTGACTCCGAGGAGCGGGGAGTTGAGATCTGAGTTTGTTTCGGAATCGGAGTTGACACCGAGGAAGGGCGAGTCGACACCCGATATGACATCCGATGCTGATTTGACGCCGAGAGGAGGGGCATCGGGCGGGGAGTTGACACCCGAGATGGTTTCCGAGTCGGAGTTGACACCGAGAATGATGGGAGATGTAACGCCGGAGATGACATCCGATGGTGAAACGACACCAGGGTTGACACCCCAGTTGACGCCTGAGTTGACACCTGAGGGCGAGGCTAGTAGTAGGTGGAAGGAGGGGGAGGAGGGGCGATATGGCATGCACGGAAGGAGGAGCGATGGTGAGGATGATGATGAGGAGGAGAGAGATAGGAGGGAATGGGCGGGCAGGAATGGAGGAGAGGGGAGGCGAGGGGGAGAGCGAGGGAGAGAGCGAGATCGAGGGGAGTCGGACGGGGACGAGGAGGACGAGGAACGGAGCGTGAGGAGCGAGAGGAGCGAGCGCAGTGAGAGGAGCTGGGAGCGGGAGAGGGAGAGGGATTCTGGTGATGAGTGGGACGAGAGACGCAGCTGGGACGACCGACGTAGTTGGGAGGACAGGAGGAGCTGGGAGGAGGACGAGTATATCCGGCGACTGACCGAGGCAGATGCTGAGGAGGATAGGAGTAGCTGGGGGAGTGGAAGTGGGTCGGAGGGGGAGAGTGAGGGTGGGAAGAGGGGAAGGGGGAGGGTGAGGAGAGGGGAGGAGAGTGACGAGGGGAGTGGGTTGGAAGGGGGGAGTGAGGGTGAGAGTGGGTCGATGGCGCTGCTGGGAGGGCTGGAAGCAGGGTTGGTGTGGGCGGATGATGGAGCGGAGGGGCTTGCAGCGAGCCGCCGAGGCAAAGGGTCAGGCTCGGCAGGGTCTGTGTCGGGAGAATCCGCGGCAGGGGAGGGCGAGGATGGGGACGAGGAAGGGGGCAGGAAAGGGAAAGTGCAAAGGAAACGGGATGGGCAAGGGCGAGAAGAAGAAGAAGAGGAGGAGGATGATGAGTCATTCCGAGGAGAAAGGAGGCCGGAAGAAGGAAACGGGGATGGGGATGGGGAAGGGGATGGGCTGGGTGCGTTGGAGGACTGGGCGGAGATGGGTGGTGTGCATGGGTTGGAGCGACAGGGCTTGCGGTTATCCACAGATGGGTCCTGCGTCGCTTCGCTGCACTCCTCCTCCTCCCCTTCCTCCTCCCCACGCGCCTCCCCGCCGCTGTCCCCCTCCGAGTCCCCGCCCCGCTCCCCGCCGTGCTCGCCCCCGTCCTCACCGCTGGCGGCGCTAGCTGCGGCGTCGGCGGCGGCACAGGGATCGTCGGGGTCGGCAGCTGCTCCGGTCATCCGGCTGGTGAGTTGAGGTTGAGCGCTTGAGAATTCCTTTGAGACGTCTCAAAAGGCGGCACAGGGATCGTCGGGGTCGGCAGCTGCTCCGGTCATCCGGCTGGTGAGTTGAGGTTGAGTGCTTGAGAATTCCTTTGAGACGTCTCAAAAGGTGGCACAGGGATCGTCGGGGTCGGCAGCTGCTCCTGTCATCCGGCTGGTGAGTCGAGCGTGACTTTTGAGTCGACTCAAAAGGTGAGCTGCTCCTGTCATTAGGCTGGTGAGCTGAGCGTTTGAGAATTCTCAAAAACCTGCCGTAAGCCTGGTGAGTTTGAGGGAGCTTCCAGGCATTTTTACCTCGCAGTATTTTTCTATACCCCTCTTTCCTCTACCCCTTTCCCTCTGTTCTCTTCCCCCTTCTTCCTCCCTCTTTCCTTCTTTTCCCCGTTCCCCACTCACTAACGCTATGTGTGCTTGTGTGTTTGCATGCGTGTGTGTGCTTGTCTGTGTGTATGTTACTGTGTGTGCATGCGTGCATGCAATGCGTATGTGCCTGTGTGCATCTCTGCTTGTGTCTGCATGCGTGCATGTATCTGTGTGTGCATTAAACACAACTCACGCGGGCTGCTCTCATCTCATCGCATCGCTCCGCATCGCATCGCATCCCATCAGATGCACGAGAGGGACTTCCGCAAGCGAGTCCACCTGCCCCACCGGTCCTCCCCTCCTCGCAGCCCCATCCATCCCCGTCCCCGCCGCCGCTCCCCCGCCTCCTCTCCCACTCCTCTCAGCTCCACCCCCTCCTCCTTCTCCTCCTCCTCCTCCTCCTCCTCCTCCTCTTCTTCGTCTCACTCCGCTCCCATCACCATCGACAGCTGCAGCAGCAGCAGCAGCAGCAGCAGCAGCACCTCTCCTCCTGACCGCCCTACATCCACCTCCTCCTCCTCCTTCACTCCAGCACCACTTGTGCTCTCCTCACTCTCCTCTCCCTCCTCGGCTTCTCCACCTGCGGCTCCCTCGCCCTCACTGAATCGCAACATATCGCTCGACTCTATCATCTTGATCTCCATCCACTCCTTCCTTTTCGGGGTCAGTCCGTCAGTCAGTCTGCCTGTCTGTCTGTCTGTCTGTCTGTCAGTCAGTCTGTCTGTCTGTCTGTCTGTTTGTCTGTCTGTCTGTCTTCCATCCTGCCTCCGCTGCTGCTTCTGCTTCCCTCGCTTTTTCGCACACTTTTTTGCACCGTTGCTCATTTCCTTCACTCCGTTGCTCCTCCACCCCTTTGCTCCCTGCTGCTTGTTTTCCATCCCTCCTTTCCGTTCACCCCTCCCGTCCCCCCACCAACCCCGCCTTTTTCTCTCTCCCCCTCTTCTGAACAATGGTTATAACATAAGTACATACAGTTTTTTAATTTAGCATGGCCTTTCGTTTCCCTCCCCTCCACTCGTTTCCCCCTCCCCAACCCCCGCTCACACCCGTCCCTCTTGCCCCGCTGCGCCCATCCCCACATTCTTTCCCCGCTCCGCAGTCCTCTATGCAGAGACCTGGTTCGCCGCACTCCCCTCGCCTCCTGCCGCTTCTACCCCTCTCCCCAACCTCCTCCGCTGCTTCGGACTTCGCCGGGCCTTCCAAATCCCCCTCTTCTCCCAAGCCTCTTGACAAGGTTGGGGTGAGGCAGGGAGTGGAAGCTGAGAGTCATGAGAGGCAGGAGAGAAGGGAGAGTGAAGGCGGGGATGTGCACGGGAGTGGAAGAGCGGTTGATGCCTGTAGAACTCTGGAAGAGGTAGCAGGCAGCAGCGACAGCAATGGTAGTAGTGGTAGCAGAACTGGTAGCAGCAGTGGTGGTAGTAGTGGCGGTGAGAGTGGCAGCATGCGGAGCACAGGAGTGGAGGTGGAGCGTGAGCAGGTTGACTTGGCTCAAGACACTCTGAACCCGCTCCAACCGGCCCTGCCTCTCCTCGCCTCCCTCGGCAAAGACACCTCTTCCTCCTCTCTCACCTCCTCCCTCTCTCCGAAATCCCCACACTCGCCGCAACAGTCCCCGCACTCCCCGCACTCCCCGCACTCTCCCCACTCGCCGCACTCCCCACGCTCCACGCACGCTCGCCAGTCGCTGCTCTCTCGCCGTACGGATGCCTCCCCTGCAGCGCTCTCTCTCTCGCCTCTAAGTGTCGCTGCCGCTGCTGCTGGTGCCGCTGCTGCTGCTGCTGGTGCTGGTGTGCTTCCATCCCTCTCCCCCATCGTACCCTCATCCCCCACCAGACCAATGTCACCAGCCCACTCCTCTCCCCGCCCTCCCACCCCTCCCTCCTCCGCCTCCGCCTCTTCCTCCTCCCTTGCTCGCGGCTCTACCTCCTCTAACCTCCTCATCCTCACCTCCTCCTCATCCTGTTCCTCCTCCTCGTCCTCATCCTCCTCTCCCTCTGCTCCCTCGCAAGTGTCTGCAGCAGAAGGTGCTGCACATGGTGACATGGACGGCCCTTGTGTGTCTGTCACCCCACCAGCGCTCCTGCTACCTCTGCAGCGACTTGCGCTCTCCTCTGGCTGTATTGACGCCCCTTACTCCACCACCACCACCACCTCCTCCTCTTCCCCCGCTGCCTCCTCATCCTCCTCCTCCTCTTCCGCTTCTTCCACTTCTTCCGCATCTGTTGCAGCACCAGCAGCAGCAGCAGCATCGAGCACTGGAAACGACGCCTCTGAGGCTCCCAGTCAACGGCCGTCCTTGCCAGCTCTTGAAAAGCAGCCATCCGCTGGCCTGCTAGACACCACCTCACCCAACTCCCCTCTCCCACGCACCTCCTCCTCCCTCTCCTCCTCCTCCTCCTCCTCCTCCGCTGCTGCGTCCCCATGCTCCTCCGCTTCCTCAACTTCCTCTTCCTCCTCTCGACAAGAACCCCCTTCCACATCCATCATCATCCCTCCTGCTCTCCAACCATCCACCACCGAAGCTGCTGCGCAGGCTCGGGAAGCCAGTGCTGCTTCTCTTTCCGAGGCTATGTCTTCTGCCGGACAACTAGCAGCAACCGTAGGAGCAGATTTCACACCTCTCAAAGGGGGCTCCACGTCGCCTTTACAAGGGCTGGGCAGGTCTTCTTCTCTCCCTGTCTCTTCCCACTCCCGCTCCTCCAGTGCCCCTCTCTCTCTCAAGGATCCGTACTTGGATTTTCTCTACTCGGGAGATCAGCCTTCCTCAGGTACTGCCTCCCCCGCTGCTCCCTCCTCGCTCTCATCAGCGGAGATTTCAGCTGCAGCAGCCGCATTCTCCCGGATGGGGATTTCGACTGCTGCTGCGTCGGCACTCAGTATCGGAGTGCTGGAGCAGCTTCAGCAGCAGCAGCAACAACAACAGCAGCAGCAGCAGCAGCAGCTGCCCGGTCTGCAGTTTGGCCCGTCGCATCGCCCCACTCCCATTCGAGTCCTGCTTGGGCTCGCATCCAAGGCCGACGAACCAGGGACTGTCACTCCAGGATCTGTTACTGCCGCCGCTGCTGGCGCTGCTGGTGGTGCGGTTGCCTCGCCTAGTGCTGCTGCTGCTGCCGGCTTGGGAGGGTTTCAGTTCCCGCAGAAGCAGCTGCAGCGGCAGCGCACGGCACCGAGTGCGGCGAACCAGTGGGTCCCGCGCATGAGCACGTTTCTCTCGCCCCGGCGCAGGCTCAGGCAGCAAGTGAGCCTGGAGCGCGGGAACAGCCTGCTGGGGTCGGCGAGTGGGAAAAAAGGTGGTGCGGTGGGGAGCGGTGGTGGTGCTGGGGACGTGGATTCTCCATCCGCTTCTGCTTCTGCTTCTGCTGGTGGTAGCGGCTTGTCAGCTGCTTCTGACGTTGATAGTCTGAGTGCTGTTGCTGCTGCTGTTGCTGGTGTTGCCGGTGTTGCTGATGCTGCCGATGCTGCCGGGGCTGCGGATGCTGTCAGCGCTGCTGCTGACGTGAGTGGTGTTGGCGAGCGCAGAGGGCAACAGGAGGCGACTGTGGCTGTGGAGGTACCTCATCCTCAGGAGGGTGCGGCAAAAGCCTCCTCCGAGCGCAGAGAACAGGAGGACGCGAGTGCAGCTGTGGAGGGCCCTCGTCCGCAGGAGAGCCTGGGTGCTGCAGAGGCCTCCTCTGAGCGCAGAGGGCAGGAGGCGAGTGCAGCTGTGGTGGAGGGTCCTTATGCTGAGGACCGGCTACGAGACACGGAGAGGCAGTTGCAGCTGCTACAGCGGCAGCTGCAGCTGTTGCAGGAGCGTGTGGAAGCTACTACTCAGGCTTCCGCCTCTGCCCGTGCGTTCCCTGTTGGCACACAGAGCTCTAGCAGTATGGCAACCACAAGCAGCAGTACAGCAGGCGCGCCCGGCACCGTGGCACCTGCAAGGAGCAGGATAGGCGGCGACGGCGCGAGCGGCAGCATGGTGGCAAGTAGCAGCAGCCTTCCGAGCCAAGAGAGCGGCGAGTTCAAGTCCGATGCGAGTGAGGGAGATTCGAGCTCTGTGGAGGAGTGGGAGGACGCTCTGGAGGAGAGCCCCACCAGCGACTCACTTGAGGCTCACCAGGCAGCGCACGGTAGTGATGCGCTGGAGTCAATGGAAGAGAGCAGTGCAGGGCGGTTGAGTGAGCAAGTGAGCGTGCCAGTGAGTGAGCAAGTGAGCGTGCCAGTGAGCGTGGCTGTGAGTGCACCGGTGAGTGCACCGGTGAGTGCACCGGTGAGTGTGCCGGAGAGTGCGCAGGTTGTTTTCGAGCCGATCAGCAGGCCAGTAAGCAGTCCTCCTGTCAGTGGTGGCTTGGCTTCTGAGTCGACTTCTGAGTCGACGCTGAAGGCGCCTGTCGAGGCAACTTCTGAGGCAACTTCTGAGGCAACTTCTGAGGCAAATTCTGAGGCGCCTCCTAAGGCGAAGCCGATCAGCAGGACGGGGAGCAGCCCTTCTGGGAGCGGTGGCCTGGCGGAGTTGTTAGAGGAGCCGGTAGAGGACGAGGAGGAGGAGGGAGGAGGAGGA